TGTACCAAACGTAAATCTTCTTGGTTTTGCAATTGATCCAAAACATTAAATTTTTTTGTCAGCCGACCATGTGAAGGCAAACCTACATAAATTCCCTACAAGAAATACTGCTCATAGCCATGGTACAAGACATCGCTCCGACCTGGACCTTTCTGTACCTTTCTGCCGGCTGTCTAAAACCACAAAAACTCTTTCCCAACGCTTGCCCTGAAGATTTACAACCATCTGCCTACGTCAATCAAAAACCAAGGGGAAACGGCCTTTTGTACAGCCCTGAAAAACTTGTTGAGGGAGAAACCATACTACAGCCCAGACAGCACACTTTCTCCTCAGGACATCCGACGGATATTGCGACAGGATATGCAAGATATCCCATAGTGGTCCTATGGTCAACCTGGGATATCCCAGGATATCCACAGGAATGCGTAATGTCCCCGCCCGGGGATGTCCTACGGATAAGGTCACAGCCTATCCGTGGGACATCCGAGGTCATCCCAGGGTAGTCCTCAGGACATTCTCAGGACATATGGGACTACTATGGGATGTCCCTGGGATAAAGTGTGGTCAGGGCCTGAACATAAAAAACAAAAAATAATATAGATTTAGTATGAAAAGCTTAATTATAAGTTTAGTAAATTGATTAAATAGTTAAAACACAAATTTTGAAGAAAAAAACGAGAAAAAAGTTTTGACCCAGACGGGTCTCGAACCTGGTACCTTCGCCTTATGAGCCTCTTATCTTTCCTCCTGAGCTATCTGCGCTTGTTGATTATGGGTGTTTTCAAGTGGTGAAAGAGTAGCCGACAGTTGCAATGGTCGCAATACTTATATTTTTGATACTACAGTATATAATATGATTCTGTTAATCTGTTTAGGCCTCAAGTAGTTGAATTGTTTTTCTGGTAGTTGGAGAGGATACTGGTATTTGAATATAGATTATTTAATTACCATTAGATTAGCACTGTTATAATTGATTGTTATATGATTAAAATTAGTTTTTGATTGTTTTATTAATTTAAGAACTCAGTGGTAGTAATATGTCAGTAAAGTTAAGTAAACCCTTGCTAGCCACAGTATTAACAAGACATATTTTCAATCTGGGAAACCTTAAACTTTTAAAACAAATTATAAAACCTTTTTATTCATCATTGCCTCCAGGATTGATTATTGACAATAATAATGGTTACATACCTTACGTCGTCAATCCTAAAATAAGTCTATGGCGACTAGTTTCGAAACATCAAGGTTTCATTGTCGAGCCTCTTGCCTTTTAAAAACATTGTGACATCTTGTCGTCGTCATTATACACAGTACATTTAACATAAACACACGAACACGGACACATACTATTTACAAAAATGAGTGCGCGGCCGGCCATAAGTACCGCGGTGACGGACACGATGCAACTAACGTTAGTTGCATCGTGTCCGTCACCGCGTTACTTATGGCCGGCCGCGCACTCATTTTTGTAAATAGTATGTGTCCGTGTTCGTGTGTTTATGTTAAATGTACTGTGTATAATGACGACGACAAGATGTCACAATGTTTTTAAAAGGCAAGAGGCTCGACAATGAAACCTTGATGTTTCGAAACTAGTCGCCATAGACTTATTTTAGGATTGACGACGTAAGGTATGTAACCATTATTATTATAAAACCTCAACATCTTAATGCGTGGGAATCTTATTTTTAGAAAAAAAAAAACAGACCAAAATTATTTGTTAAATAATGAAGACGGCCCCATTATAAATTCGGAATTACTGAAAATAATTACATCAAGAACAACACCGTAATACATCCAAAATTCAAAAGATTAATTTTTCTAATATTATTTTTTATTTTTCCAATATCCTATAAATCATCTGTTTAAACTTTGTTTAAAATTAATTTATCAAGTAAATATTTACTTTTTGTACTAGTGTAAACACAGCCTGAAGATGGAAACCTAGTTTTTGAAAGCGCTAGTGAAAAAAAATACCCCCGCCGCAGCAAACCTGCAGACTTAGCGAATTTCCATTTGTCTGATTGGATTTTAACTAAGACGTCTCCTTAAAAATATCACATTTATTCCCTATTTAAACAGAATTAGTTTAATGAGTATTTAGGTTTGCTGCAACAGGGAGGGTAAAAAGTTTTTTTCATGTAAAATGTTACAAGGTACTATGGTTTAGTAAGAAATTAATGTATTTTCCAAATTTGATCAAAACAAGTTCATAAACAAGCAAACTACAACAGTTGACTTATTCTCCATAAGAATAACATGGGAATTTTAAAATTACAATTTTTTTGAATTTTCTCCGTAACAATTAGGCGCATAATAACGCTTCAATATACTAAATTATTTGTTTTTTTAAGCTCTACAAAATGGTTCTAAAAGAAATTGTGAAATTTTGTGTTTTTAGGGTCAAAAATTGGAAAAACCTATTTTTACCCCATAAACCCCCGTTCCCGTAGTCCGATCATGCTGGTTCGCGAACTCATTCAAGTTTATCCCGCCTTACACCTTCAAACCAAATTTGATCAAAATCGGACAATTACTCAAGTTATCGTGCGGATGGACACATATATATATATATAGATATATAAAAATTTGAACGAATGGTGTTTTTGGCCTCTGGGGACATCAAAATGAAAAAGTAAATCGGTCCCGGGCTTAGGTCTTACCATGAGACCTACGGTAATAGCTACTTCCCTATAGGGAAATTCGCTAAAACAAATTATTATATATAATAAAATAAACAGTTACCTTGTTCAATGTCCTTTGGTGCTATTAGATGACGACCGGTTTCGTGACGACAATCACATCATCAGGTCAATCCTCGTAGAACGATTCGTTATAATAAATACATAAAGTTTTTACCGAACACAAGACGAAAACACATTATATTTACAAAATATTTACACACAGAAACCATCGCGATGCGTGCACGCTTATGTCGCGATGGTTTCTGTGTGTAAATATTTTGTAAATATGATGTGTTTTCGTCTTGTGTTCGGTAAAAACTTTATGTATTTATTATAACGAATCGTTCTACGAGGATTGACCTGATGATGTGATTGTCGTCACGAAACCGGTCGTCATCTAATAGCACCAAAAGATATTGAACAAGGTAACTGTTTATTTTATTATTAAAATTTTCAATATCCAGTAGTAGGAAAATTAACTCTGATCAAATTATTATACAGGGTGTCCCGGAACTCTCTACCAATATTTTAGGGCATTGCTCCTGGGTAAGAAACATAACTAAATATCATATTTAAACTGTCCGGAAGTCTTTAGTTACTCACACAGCCGCCATTTTGTGTTTTTCAGTTATTAATTTTTTTCTAAAGAATGGTTAAACATACGAAATGGAAACTTTGCACAAACATTTATGACAACTAGACAAAGCTACCAAAAAATTATCACAATTATTCAAATTCATAAAACATAATGGTGGCCATTTAAAATATTTGTAAAATCAATGGTTTTTGAGTTATTTAAGAAATAAAATTTTAAATGACCACCATTTTGTTTTATGAATTTGAAAAATCGTCATAATTTTTTTGTAGCTTTGTCTAGTTGTCACAAATGTTTGTGAAAATTTTCCATTTCCTATGTTTAACCATTCTTTAGAAAAAAATTAATAACTGAAAAAAACAAAATGGCGGCTGTGTGAGTAACTAAGGGCTTCCGGACAATTTAAATATGATATTTTAATATGTTTCTTACCCAGGATTAATGCCCTAAAATATTGGTAGAGAGTTCCGGGACACCCTGTATATTGGCCTTGTTGAACATTTAAATTTAGATATACATTTCATCAGTGGTAGTATTTTTTTTCTTCAGTTTGTTACCGGGACATTACGGGACATTACAGGATATCCAGTGGATTTTGTACATGTCCCGGGATGTCATGGGACATTCTGGGATATCCTATGGCATTCGTACATATCCCGGGACTTTACAGGATATCCTGAGGTTAACTTACAAATCCCGGGACATTACGGTATATTGTAGGATATCCTGTGGATTTCGTACTCGTCCCGGGATTTTGCGGGATATCCTGAGGATAGCGTACATATCCCGAGACATTCTCAGGACATATGGGACTACTATGGGATGTCCCTGGGATAAAGTGTGCTGTCTGGGAGCCTACAAGACTATTTTGATGAGAAACTTTAAGTCAATAAGCCTGCGGCAAAATCATCCACCGCCAAAGTACTTTTAATACAGTTCATATTTCAATCTATGGAAGTTTTTATGTATAGTGTAAATAGAAAATTGACGCAACCTATCCGGCTCTGCCTCGGTCAAGGAGGAGGTAATTAAAAGGTAATTAAAGGCAATTCCACCCTAAGGACAGCGCGTTGATTGGTTTTTGGAAATAATCAACTACTATCTTCGGTTAATCATCCATATATAAATTTCAAAATACCCATGAATTTTTGAGAAAACTACATGTCACACCTCCATAAACCGTATAATAAAAATGTTCGTTAAGACGAGAAACTTTGCGCAAAACTATCCACTTTTTCACAAATTGAACTTTAAGGTCGCAAATCCTTCCAAAGGGAACTTTCCATATAAAAATAATCTCAATATTATCCATTAGCAATTTCCAACAGCTGACACGGACAGTGTTGTTGAATTCCATTCTAACTCTAATAATCTAACATGGCGAAGGTGCAGGTGGTGGCAGTTTGATCTTCCGATTTTGATCCGACTCCAAGTGAATTCCTATGTAACCGTAACCGTTGTCGATATAAAAGCGATACGATATTAGGTATGACGTAGCTAGTAAGTTTTGCGAGTGGTGAACTAGCCAACTAGCGCTCTCCGCCAAAGCTCTTTCCCTTTCCTTCTTTTTTTCTAGCAGCCTAAGAGCCTACTTTTGCTTTCAAACGGGTTTATGTGGAGCGAATGCGGTGCGGCATGCGATTCACCTGATGCCTTCTTTCCTTTCTACTCCTACTCTAGCAGACGGCAAAGGTTATCTATCGTGTTTGTGTTTTGTTATTGACGTTATCGTTTCGTTTAGTTACTAGGCTAGATCTTGATCGTTTGGTTTGGTTGGTTTCCAAGGATAACAAGACAAGAAATTCAGTATCTAACTTATCTAGCCTAGTATTTTCCATTGCGTAAGACTTTTTAGGAATTTGTTTGACTGAACAAGAAATGGAAGATTATTATGAGGTTTGTTTAATTTGAATTTGTAGTGTGCTCATCATTTAATTTATTTTCTATCACTAGGCATGTAACTTAGGCTAAATTATAAAAAAAGTCAATTTTTATGACTAATAATTATTTATTAATGATTAAAAATAGATATAGTTCGGACTGATTCAAGTAGATTATCTATATTTATAAAAGAGGAAGTTAAGTTAAATTCAATACAATATTAATTGGGTGATTGTCACAAAAAACCTGCTTGTGTATTAAATAAGTAAGTTATACTAGAGGTCGTCCAATGGTCGAAAACTTGACCAAAAATATGTCCTATGTAATGTACCGGTACAGACTTTTCTATTTTAACCTTACGCTGTAATTGAAACATGTGATTGGAATTTCTTTTGTTTGTTTTGATTTTCTGTTTATATTTTGTATTTAATTCGTTATCAGCATAGGCCTACTTAGCAAAACATAAGGCCCATGTTAAGTTATTAAAATTTAAAATGAACTTTTTTTGTTTATTTTTGAGCCTATTTTAGTTTATAAAAGTATTCTGCACGTCTACAGGAAAATATCTTTCTAACAGTATGGGTAGATTTTCCCTGGTATGCACACGAGCTGAGAACAAAGGTTGGTTCTAAACAAACATGCTTGCCTATTAATGTATTGAAGATAGGGTATAGATTAATCTGATATCACAGGTACCTATTGATCGGAACTGTACCCTCAACTTTATCTAACGATATCGCAAGAATCTCTGAAAATTCCCACTAACTTAGTTCATCTCAAAATTTGCCGCAAACAAACACTCCTAAAAGTTTTGGTTTGCCCTAACTTCTTTTCATATTTCTAATTATCTTAGGGCTGCACTTTACTTGACGTCCTACACTCATTTGAATGAAAATATCGATCGATATATCGATTAATCGATTGCTTCATTCGATATATCGTTTGGTTAGTTAGGTAAGGTTAACCTAACCTAACTAACCAAACGATATATCGAATGAAACGATCGAATGAAAATATCGAATCGAAAAAACAATCGAATGAGTGTAGGACGTCAAGTAAAGTGCAGCCTATCTTAGTACCGGTATTTATGAACTTAACTTATGCTTCTATTTGTTTTGATTTTCTGTTTATTTCGTTGTTTTTTCGTCACCAGCATGGCAACTCATAAGGCCCATGTTAATTTTTATAAAATTTCAAATTCATTTTTTGTGCTTATTTTTGAGCCTATTTTAATTTATAAAGAGATTCTGCATCTACAAGCAAATATCTTGCCAACAGTATTTATGTGTAGATTTTCTCTTCGACGCACACAAGCTGAGAAAAAAAGTTTTAAACAAACATGCTTGCCTATTAATATATAGATTTTTACAATCCTTTGGATTCACCCTGAAATTCACATTTTGAGGTTGCTTTAACATCAGTAGGACGGCCTAAACATGTTTATTTTGTCCAATAAGACATTAAATAATGGACTATTACGTTCAATATCACGATTAAATTTGTAATATGTGTCTGAGAACTCTTTTATTATGTAAAGGCTACAACATTTAACTTAGCTTTATTTAAAAATCCTAGTGTGATGCTTCTAGTTTTATTGGTATTATTCACAATATTAGTCATACTCTGTAATACCTAAAACCAGTGGCGTAGTTATGATAGAAATAAGAAATAACTGATTGATCGAGTTAAATAAAAAACAATAAATTTTTGAAAACATTTACTTTAAAGATAGCTAATTATTAGAAGTAGAATGGATAATAAAAAAAAAAAAACAACCTATGGTAACAATAATTGTCTCTGTGACCACTGACATATAAAAATAAGTTATGGCAGTGTACTAGTAATTCGTCGTGGGTACAACGTTGGCATCACTCCGTGCAGTGGGTGCGGCCGGGTTTGCGACTTACAGAGTGTTTAGCAAAATCCGCGGCTGGACAAAATCAAATTAGCCTGTTCCTGAACAAGCCAATTACCGAATGGGACAAAATCAAGTGCGTTCCAGAGTTAGCCAATTCCATTGGCTCGTTCATTATAGTAGGTTAATGTGGGTATTAAAATCTTTATCAATCAATCATTCATCATCATAACCTTAGTGTTAAAAGTGTCAATAACCACTATTGTAACCAAACCCAACCCTAAATTTAAATAGTGTGCCAAGTTTATAAAATTTACTAAAGTGATAAAAAAATAAACAAAATAATCACAATTTGGATGTCCTGTTAGGGCTATTGGCCGTTTTCTGTTTGAAAACGGCATTTACCATTTGAAAAAGTGCCAGAGAAAAAAAGAATTGTCTATTTTAGCCAAATATAGGTTACCATAAGTTTGTAAAAATCCAATGTACAGCTTTTTAAGTTCTTTAGTGTGTTTTTTTTTACTTGAATTTAAATGGTCGAGGCTTAACTACCATTGTTATTTTGATTATTTTTTCAGTTCAATGATGGCAAAAGAGGGAACCCTCCTTGGTGGGCCAAAATCTCCGTTGAACCTGTGATGTTTTTGTACATGGGTTCCTATATGGTGTCTTCTGTCGTGGAGCAAGCTTTCTTTGTTCACAAGGCCTGCATGGTTGATGTCGGACTTCCTGCCGATGTATGTGCCAACATATCAGCTAAAGAGAACGAAGAGTACAACAAAAGAGTGCAAGTATGTTTCAAAGTTATAAACATCATCATGTACACAACTTAAATTATTACTGGTAACTTAGCTTACATCTTAATATAACGTGTTTTTGAAATGTTAATAATACAAAAAGAGAGATTCTTACATAGTTCTTCTTGGTTATCTTACATTCGATAAATTTCTAGTCAATATTCTTGCAATGCCATAAAAAACTTTTTGAAAGTTAAGTTACTAGGCCGGATTATATTTTCAAAACCAATGTTGTATATTTTAGCAATGTGTAGGCCTACTGTATTATCTGAGTGTAAGTTTTGTAACTGTATCTATACAGTTACCATTTATACTTGATTATGTTTCATGTAGCCTAATTGAAAAATTACTAAAATTAACTAGGTACTAATAAATCAGGTTAAACCGTCATTAGAAATTTAATTTCAAAATGTATAACAGATAAAACCTATTGATTTGAAACCAGTTCAAGTTTGAAAGATAAGACCAACAGTTTAATACCTTAACATTTGTCCGCAAAATATCGTCGAAAGCTAATAGAGCAAAGTTTTTATTGGTTTCAATGTAGTATAATTGAGGTCAGTGACTGAACTATTGCCATCAAAGAATCCGATAACAAACCCTGACCATCTGTCTTAATGCTTAGTAGTTGCACGTTCTTTTCAACAAGAACGCTACCATGTTTTGACTAAACGCAATTATAGTTTATTGAAACAAATTATCTGTAACTTTTTACTGCGCAAATAACTAAGTAAAGTCAGTATAGTTTGATATTATTTCATCGTTATGGTAGACATTAGTTGTATGATAAATTTTGGTTGGCTATTTTCAGTTATCTTGTAAAAAAAGTCGTAAAAAACACACTTAAATTTACTGTTCTTTTTTGTACCTAGGCCTTCTTAAAATTTTAAGAAAATCTGCTTGGGTATATTTAGAGAGAGTTCTATCTTTGATTATGATAAAATACCCTAAAATACTGTATTCATAGTACGGTAAATGGTTTAGTTTTTCTAAAGAAACAATGAATCATCTACAACAAATATGCTAGGTGCTGCAATTCAGCTAACTTAATAGCTCCTTAACAGCCAATATTTACTTAGATTCAATTTATAGACCATTAGATACTACTGATGGAATTTGAACTACTTTTACCACTAATAAACATCCAAGTAAACATCATTATGTTATCTTGTTTTCTTAAATTACGAGCTGTTTTTTGATAAAAAAAAACCACAAACCATCTGATCAATTGAAAATAGTATTTATCAGTGATAACTATCCAATACGACGTTAATAGCAGTGAATAAATTGTTTGACTCATTTTAATTTACAACTTCCGTGGTTGATTATGACATCAACCCAACCAAAAATAATAATGAGTGTTCTAATATTTGATGAATTTCTTATCTTTTATTTAACCAACTAAGTGTGAAACGGCAAAAGGGTCTTTTCAGTTTTAGGGCACAGAATAGGCCTTATTGATTTTTAATCTTGCTTGTTAAAGGAGTAGGCTAATTTAGATGCATTTAATACAGAGACGATGACTTTAATTAAGTCATTGGTTTTAATTTAAAGAGGATCACATTCAAAGACTTTATCAGGGCAACATATTACATTGTTTAAAAATTCTTTTTATCTACCTCCTGAATTTACTAAGCCTTTAGAAAATATATTTAATTTTATAATTCGTGTCATAACTTAAAACAAAAAAAAATTACAGTGAATTTATACACCATTACTTCCTCTTCCTCACTAAATTCCTTAAGATTGGAGGTTCTTCTAGGTGGTTTTGGGATTGATCACCCCCAGGTTAAGTTAGGTTGGAATAGGTTATAATATTCTTTGATGATGTAAGTGTAAAATGGATGGTCAATGATAATGTATTTTAGAGCTACTTATCATTACACTTATCATAATTTACATTGTGGTCAACCACTGCTTCCTGAAATCCAAAGAGTTTTTCAGCTACACTTCACATTGCATTGGAAATAGTTATTTATGAAAAAAGTTACTGTAAAGTCAAACATATTTATCACAAGAAACTGGTATACACCATGTAATATTAATGAAATTGTCCATACTAAAACTACTTTTAATACAATTTATTGACTTTCAATTATTGTAAAATTACTTTGTTGTTGTTATTGTGTATATATTTGACTTATAATTTCTCTACTGTATGATGTCAATCACAAATTAAGTGTTTGATAACCTTATCTGCAAAACTACTGGTAAAACAACTTGAAACTTGAGTTGTACGTAAAGTGTATTTGCTAATCTTAAAACTCTCCCACACTCTGTTAGATAACAAAATAATCTTAATTCTTTTTGAAGTCCTAATTAGCATGGTAAAACCTCAAGTAAGAAATTCTAATGAAGCTAGTAGCTAGGTTATGTAAATGAATGAAGTTAGACTTGTTTATTATGTAACTTCTTGATTATCATTTCACATGTTGAGTATTACCATAGACTAACCAACACAAGTAGACTTCTCATCCCATTGTAAATTTTGAAGCTCGTTTTTCATGTCTAGTTCATGTACGCCACACTGGGCGCTAGTGTCGACGAAATTTTGTTTCTATTATTTTAGGGTTAATTTCTTGATTTGTGCTTTACTGTTTGGTTAAATAACTAGGGGACAATTTATTGTTTATGATTAGATCGTATTATTTGGTTAAACGAGGTTTTAAATGACTGTATTAACGGGAAACAAATTGTAAACAAAACACGACCTCTACATAAACCGTACATGAACTAACAATAAAATTGTCTTCAGCTGTTCCATAAGGATGAGAAATCTACTAAGGGAGTATGTTTTATCTATGGTATTACCGTTGACTATATGTATATATAGTCAATGGTATTACTATACGGATATAATAAAATCGGCCTTTCAACTCTACCCAATACATTACTAAGAAATACCTAGGGTGTTTTTTTAACACGATCCAAATTAAAACCTAAACATATTCAAAGTCAGGCCAGCTTTTATAAACGGGCAGACTGGGCATATGCACAGGGGCGCCGGTGGTTTGGGGGGCGCCCGCCGGGTGGGAGTCAATGGCAATTTTATTTCTTTCTCTGGTCAAATACGTGTCTGTCACCTAGCCTGGAAACAAAATTATTTAAGTATAGCTAGCTGTTACATGTAGAGATGTGTGAAAAACATGGACACTGTAAATAGTCATTATGCCCAGATTAGTGAAATGGTGACGGACAGAATCATCAAAATTATAAAAATCATGGTTACATGGAAAAAATAAGTATTGTATTAGTATTATTGATCCTAACAGTGTTTACAACCTATAGTTGATTTATTGGGTATTGGGATAATATCCTCACCAAAAACCTTATTGCATACATCACTTTATTGCATACAATGGGTTTATTTTTTTAAACACTCTTTTTACAATGCATAGCATACCGTACTCTTTGAGCTTGTAAAAACCTATAATGAGTCTTATTCCCAATATCCCTTAACTGTGTAGGTAACAAGGCTAAAATGCTGATTGGCGTAAGGAAAGCAGAACTGCCAGCATATAACTTGTTTTGTCCCTAAATAGTGAATTTCTTTACTTTTTAGATTGAGTTTGTATTTTTATCCAAACCAATACCGATAACTAACTGTTGTATTAAGTCTGTTCTTTTTATCATGTGTTTAAATATGTTTGTTGTCAGATGTTTTTGTAAACATTGGTTTAGTTTGAAAATAGAGTTTGTTCAAGCAAGATGTGTGAATAATATTCTTGTATAAGAAATAGAACATGGTGGCAGCTTAGTGGATTTTTTATCGAACAAAGTCTAAAACCACGCATGATGTCAAGTAAGGGCAGAAAAAAACGAAATACTCGTAGGCAAAGGTATGAGGACAATGAGGAGGATGCCCAAAGTGAATTCAACTACATGTCAGAAAGGGATTCTAGAAAGACTGAAGGTGAGTCACTAGGTTTTGCATTGGGACAGACAAACCGAGAAAATAATGCAGTAATGTTTACTCCTACTCCTATGATAAATCTGACGTTACCAACTCCAGATACCTTCTCTTTTACTCCGAATGAGTGGCATTCCTGGAGGAATCGCTTTCAAAGGTACAGACGGGGGTGCGGTCTAGATAGCACTTCCGACGCTCGGCAAATCGATGTACTTTTGTTTACAATGGGTAGTAGGAGTGAAGATATTTTCGATTCGTTTTCACCAAAACCGAATACTTATGACGAGGCTCTTCGGGCCTTTGATGCATACTTTGTGCCAAGACGAAATATCATTTATGAGAGAACAAAATTTCTGAGACACAAGCAAGGGAGTGATCCATCTGAAAAATTCATAACAGATTTGCATGGTCTTGCAAAAACGTGTGCATGGGGTGAACTGAACGATGAGATGGTGCTTCTGGTCCTCATTATTGGTATGAAAGATGAGGCTCTAAGTGATAGACTCCAGCTACACTCTCAATTGACTCTGGAGAAGGCGATTAATACCTTGCGCCAACACGAGGAGCTAGAACGCCAAAAACGTGAGCTCGCCAATACTAATGTTTTTATGGTGAATCAAACGTCAATACAAGTCGGTAAAACAAATCTGTCTGAAAGAGCTGGTGAACAGAAATTCACCGAGGATGCTATGAGAAAAAAGTGCAGGAAATGTGGTTATAACTGGCACGGATCACTGGCCGAATGCCCTGCTAGGAAAGCCAAATGTGACAAATGTTCCGAGATTGGACATTTTTTTCGATGTTGACCCTCCCGCGAAAAGTGGATGAGAAAAAACAAAAACGTTGTTAAGGAAATCGAACAGCAAGATTCAGACAGTGGTTATCAACAGGTTCCTGAGATTTTCATAGGGAATATAGACAGCAGTGACAAAGCCTGGGTCCAGGAGGTAAAAGCAAGCTGTGGAAACCAAGTGTTAGGGCTTATAAAATTTAAACTTGACACAGCCGCTGATGTAACCATGATTCCAGTAGGAGTTCTTGGTGATTTTATTAAGACTCTGCCTCTAGGAAAGTGCAAATCCCCTGTGTTTAGCGCAAAGAAGAAAGAACGAATCAATATTTTGGGAACTTTAAGGCTAAAGCTTGAACATAAGGGTGTATCAGTTTATGATCTTGCATATATTTCTGAGGAGATCACTGTTCCACTTCTTAGCAGACGTTCCTGTGAAGAGCTGAACCTGGTGAGGAGAATTTTTTCTGTTGATTCACATGATATTGACTGGGCTACTAAGTATCCTAATTTATTTCAAGGGCTGGGAAATATGAAAGGAGAGTACAAGATTGAAATGAAGGAGAATGCAGTTCCTTACGCTATATCCACCCCCAGGGTTGTACCAATACCTTTAAAAACCAAGGTGAAAGAGCAGTTAGACGATATGCTTGAGAAAGGAGTGATTGTTCCAGTTGAACACGCGACTGATTGGTGCGCACCAATGGTAGTTTGCGCAAAAAAGGGAGGTGGGGTTAGGATCTGCGTAGACCTATCCAAACTCAACAACAGTGTGAAACGTCGGTTTTATCCTATCCCAAAGATCGAACTTTCATTGGCCGAGATCGCGGGAGCCAAGTACTTCAGCAAGATCGATGCGAATTCCGGGTTCTGGCAACTGAACCTTGCAGAGGAGTCACAAGATTACACAACATTTATCACCCCTTTTGGGAGGTATAAATTCCGTAAGTTACCTTTTGGAATTACGTCCGCTCCTGAAGAGTTTCAGCGCCGCATGTCAAAAGCTTTAGAAGGGGCAAAGACCTGTTTAGTGCACATTGACGACTGTCTGATATGGGGAAGAACGAAAGAAGAACACGACGAGTGTCTTAGGGCCGTTCTAGAGAGAGTGCAAGCTAATGGAATCACCTTGAATAAGCAGAAGTCGGAGTTCTGCAAGAAGACTGTGACATTTCTGGGGTTTGTGCTGTCTAAGGACGGAATCAAGCCTGATCCAAGCAAGGTACAAGCGATTGTGGACTTACCAGCTCCAAGAAACGCTAATGAAGTACAAAGATTCATGGGCATGATCACTTTTCTGGCAAAATTTATTCCGAACCGCAGTGAGATTTTGGAGCCAATTACGAGCTTGTTAAAGACTAAAAACGATTTCTTTTGGGGACCAGCTCAAGAAAACGCTTTTGTCACAGTAAAACAGATTTTATCATCAGAGCCATGTTTGACTGTTTACGATCCGCAAAAACCCTCGATTCTTTCTTGCGATGCTTCAAAAAAAGGTCTTGGAGCGGTTTTACTTCAAGTTGAAGGAGAAAACAAGAAACCTGTGGCATATATATCTCGGACTCTAACGCCTGCTGAAGAAAACTACAGTAACATTGAGAGAGAAGCGCTTGCATGCACATGGGCAAGTGACCGTTTGAAATGTTTCCTGATGGGTAAAATGTACACAATTGAGACCGACCACAAACCGCTTGTCTCAATTTTCAAAACACAAAATTTGGACGAGCTCTCACCGAGGCTACAGCGGTTCCGAATGCGTATGATGAGATACGATTATCGCATGACCTGGACCCCAGGAAAAGACCTTGCCATAGCAGATCTACTATCAAGAAGTCCTATTCCGGCTGACGAAGATGGCGAATTGACCGAAGAAGTGGAAGCCTTCGTCCACGAAATCAGTCTGATTAGTATAAACACTACAGATGAAAATGTGACAAAGGTACTTCACTCACAAATGAGAGATCCAATCTGTGCACAACTTAAGTTACAAATTTTAGACGAATGGCCTGTAAAATCAAGTTTACCTAATGAGATTCAAGAGTACTTTAATGTGAAAGACGAGTTAAGTTGTATTGATGGGCTATTGCTTCGAGGAACTCGGATGATAATACCTCAAGAACTACGAGCGGAAATGCTCGAGAGGCTTCACAGTGGACACTTGGGAATCACAAAAACAAGGAAACGTGCTTTGGGAACCATGTGGTGGCCTGGAATTTCTCAAGAAATAGAAAGGAAAATCAAATCGTGTCCAGTGTGTATTCAGAACTCAACTAATCACAGTGAACCATTGATTCCGAGAACTGTCCCGGATTACCCGTGGCAAAATGTGTCTGTTGACTTGTTCAAACACGAAGACAAGTGGTATATGGTTATCGTGGATCACTACTCAAGATACTTTGAAGTCGAGGAAATGCATCGAATGAGGGCTTCAGATGTGATTCGGGTTTGCAAAACCACATTTTCACGTTTTGGAATTCCTCAACGTGTTTATTCAGATAGTGGGACACAATTTCACCATATTGACTCAAGTGAATTTAAATTGTTTGCAAAGGAGTGGGGGTTCTCCATATTCAGAAGTAGTCCCCACCACCATCAGGGAAATGGGGCAGCTGAAGCAGCTGTGAAAGTAGCAAAAGGGCTAATGAAGAAAAACAAGGATAAATTTGAACTTGCCCTACTTTCTCACCGGACCTCACCTCTTGAAACCGGCTTTTCCCCATCTGAACTTATGTTTGGAAGGAAATTAAGAGACAATCTTCCATCTACTTTGGTTGGAAATCCTGTGGAAAATAAGAATTTTCTTGAGAGGGAGAATAAGTACCAGAATAAGTACAAGATACAATTTGATAAACGACATGGAGCGAGTGGTTTAAGTGAATTAGAAGTTGGAAGCATGGTATGGATCACAGATCTACGTCGACACGGTAAGGTAGTCAGGAAATTGAACGAACCACGTTCCTACCTTGTGGAAACTGACAAGAGAACTATTCGCCGAAACAGGAAGTTCTTAGTTCCTGCACCGTACTACGGAGGAGATGGAATTCTTTCAAACTGTTCATCCATGGTCCTTAATCGTCCATGCAACTCACGTGATCGTCCAGGAGCTGGCACAGTAACCCGTTACGGAAGGTCCATTAAGAAACCGAGGCGGTACTGAGGTTCATAAAGATGTGGACATCTTGAAGCGGGATGTTGTATTAAGTCTGTTCTTTTTATCATGTGTTTAAATATGTTTGTTGTCAGATGTTTTTGTAAACATTGGTTTAGTTTGAAAATAGAGTTTGTTCAAGCAAGATGTGTGAATAATATTCTTGTATAAGAAATAGAACACTAACATATTAATGTTTATCAATATTTAAAGTTTCAGTAGTGGTAAATGAATTCTTTAATAATAAGCTAATAAAAAATTTATTAAAAAGTTGAAAATGAAGAAACATTTTTGTCTTATTAAGATGTTGTTTGTTCAAGGTAGTAGTCTCAACATTTCACCAGTATGAGGGCATTGCTAGTCACATAGTCCCAATGATTCTGGCGTTTTATCTTGGCGCGTGGAGTGACCGAGTGGGTCGAAAACTTACACTATTACTTGGGCTCTTCGGCAGTCTGTACTACTGGATAGCCCTCATTGTTAATTCATTACAAGGTTTGTATACCACGTAGTGTTATTGACTTTAATTTTGATGCCATATAAAATATACCTGTTGATTGAATAGTTTTTTAAATGTTGATTTTTTGTGCACAACCACAGTCTAGCTTATTATTCAATAAATAAACTCCATACTATAACACTCTTTTTTTATTAAATCAAAAGGATACCTGCTGTACTATCAGTGGTCCGTTTTTAGTCAGAAACCAAGGTTTTGAATGTAAAGGCTCATTTTCATTCAAGCTTTATACCAAGTTGAAAAAATAGTTTTCAATCCTGGGGAAGAATAAAAATCATCTTCAATCCTCTTTTTTTATAAGAAAATCCTAAACTTCCTTTTTAAACATAACCATTCCAAGGGTAAAAAGATTTTTTTTTTTTAAATAGATATTAATTTTTAATTGTTGACTGAAAATAACATACTGCATTAGATTATGAAAGCATGATAGACAATCGTCCTTGTTTTAAATATGCAATAGTTTGCAAGAAATTGTATAGTATACAATATTTACTTTTTGGGATACATTATTTATCTACCATAGTGTACTTTGTTGAATAGAATCCGGTGGTTTTTTTGCGACCCTACGCCCCTGGCGGGATTAAAGAAAATCAGTCAAGAGTATTTTGATAAAATGAAGGCTTTAATATTTTCACTGTCTCCCATGTTTATGACAGAGACGTGGCCTCTACAGACCGTGTTGTACACTGCTACGTTCCCCGCTGCGCTGACAGGCAGTTCGCTAGCCATCTTCATGTCGGCCATCAGTTACCTGTGTGACATCACTACGCCGGAAGAGAGAACGGTCCGAGTCACTCTGCTAGAGGCGGCCTATCTTCTCACCATGCCAACTGGTGTTGCAGTAGGTACACCCATGGTGACGTTGAGTTTTTAACATGAGTAACACAATTATATTTGTTTAATGGCAAGCAGCGGATTTACAAAGATTAGAGTTCATGTAAGATGTTGAAGATTTGTGATAGCCTACATAATTTAACGCTCCTGTGAAAGAAACAGCTGGTTTTAGTAACTATTTAGATCACCCCACTTTAAGTTCTCTCGGATTATTGCAGACTTTTTCAAAAACATTTAGCAAAAAATCAGGTTTTCTCAACTTTTAGGATCTGGAATCGTATCCTGTCTTAAAGTGAGAAAGTACCTTAAACAACTTGGCAAAAAAAGCACAGAAAAAAACCACACATGTAACTCCAGATGAGGAGTGAAAAATCCCAAAGGAAATCTATAAATATATAGGATGGAGAGGACACAGCTAACTCACCTGATGAAAGGTTGCAGACGAGTCAAAGACACATAAAACACACACATTATGTGTTCTTTGACTCGTCTGCAACCTTTCATCAGGGAGTTAGCTGTGTCCTCTCCATCCTATATATTTATTTAATCCAAGCTAAATGCTTTTCCCTAAAAACATAACCTTAAAGGAAATCTATAGTAATTTCTTGTCCTCAGTCTTCGTTACTATACAGTTCTATGTGTGCGTTTTCTTCTGTGATTTTTCCAACTCTGGCTGGGTGTTTGTTTATGTACCCTAGGCATATTTTCGGTGTACTATCTCACCGCAGAATAGATCAGATTCCAGATTGCAAAACGTCGTGAAAACTTAGTTTTTTTTTTCATTTCTTGCCATGAACAGGTCTGCAAAAATCTCTTAAATAACTTAAACATAATACAAATTAACTCCAAACAAAGCACTACACTTCATTGCACACTCGTCTTGCATTCTTATTGACCTTAAATAAAATACACATCTAGGTGGCATTGTTGCCGATAAAGTAACAATGATTCAATGAAGTTATTGAATGAATGTGACAGCTATGAAATTGCTAAATGCGTACACAAACTGAGATAACATAAAATTATATCATAAACATTTGTTTAGATATTTTACCAGTAAATAATCTTTAAACCAGTAAATGCACTTCTTTCTGCTCAATGCAAACATAATGATACACACACGTGTATCCAGACAAAGATAGCTCTCTTCTTGGGTCAATTACCACAAGCACAATGATTCTTAATAAAGATGGCATTGAACTTAACACTGAATTGGTTGTTATCAGAGCAGATATGAATGGTCGTCTGTTGGTTTGAATAGTCCGTTTTGTAATCTAACTATGTGGGTTTTAATTTAGAAGGTTTTTAACAAACATAAAAAAATGTTTTGGCAAAAGTATTGGTGTTTAACTTATTATACTAATTGCTTCACTTAAAAAAAGTGTTAGGGTTTTAAATGGCTATACAAAAACAAATAAATATTGGGTTTTAAATGGTGTTTGAAGTATGTTGAGTGAATTAATCAAGTTTTTTTAACTTTCCGTGGGAAAACATTTTTAAACCCGACAAGTAATGTAATATAATGTGTAGTGTAAGTTTTATAGGGAAAAGTCTACATGGACATGCTTTGTTTTATATAAAAACATACTTTTTACATTTTATGGAGATTGTCTGCAGATTAAGGCCTCCAATGAGGTCCTGACAAGGCTAAACCAGATAATTCAAATCTATCACTACATCGTGATCTTTAATTCCTCCTATTACTTTCCTGAGGGAAAATTTGCGATCTCGCCATGTATTAATCTCATTCTCTGATTAGGTTTGTGTACTATGTATTTAAATGTGAGGTTTGGTTATTCGATGTGTTCTTCTGATTTCGATATGACCTTGTTTTATGGAATAACTGTTTTTATTGATTGTTATATAAATGTTATCCAAAACTTAAAGTGACCAACAAGCTCGTGTCAAAACATAACAAGCTTGTCTGGGTGTGACAATTAGTGCGGTTTTCTTTGCTTCTCCATCACTATTCTAGCCCCCGCTCTTCTGCAACGCTCGGTCTTATTGTAAAGTGCTATCTCTCTCAATATAATTTATCCCAAGGGTTTATATCCAAAAATTTGTTATGTACGGTATTTGGTTACAATGTGGATTCTCACATTGATGTAAGGTGAAAATTGTGTACCGGCACATCTAGGTTTACAGAACATTTCAATTAGGGTATGATATGTATTCGATGGATTACCAATATAACTCACAGGTAATGTTATTAACAAACTAGTCCCCTCATACAATGCGATCTAATTTTCCAGGGAAACTGAACTAACTTGTCTAACTAACGATATTAATTGGAGTACTTAAACTAATTTTCATGTTGAGACACAATTTTGTTGTACGTTATGTTCTTAATAATGAGGCACAGTCGTATTTTGAAACGTAGAATGTTTTTGACCAATTATAACAAATTTTATTTCTGTAGAACAAGAACCACCTCTATTTGTGTGTATAATGAGGTCGGATTATTTATCCCAGATTATTTATAGTTTAGTTATTGAGGTTGTGAGATGTAGGAAGTGGTGGATGTGGCAAATTGTACAATGACTTTGTGGACAGTTCTAAGAGGTTTATACAAATGTATACATCAAGGAATTTGTTATACCGAAGTTCGATGTATTGAGCTTGGCACTGTAGGATCATTTTACAATAGGAGGGAAATTCATGACTCATTTGCGACGTGAGCTAGATTACTTGGAGCTGCACAATTGTTTACTCTACAACACAGATCTTTTACAGGTTCGTACCTCTTCAAGAAGGTTTTGAACGGACAGTTCACACTGATGTTTTGTGTGAGCGGTATCATGATGCTGTTGTCCATATTCTGGGCCATTCTCAGGCTACAATGGTGCACCAACAAGACTAAACAGACAGCCCCGATCAGTTGTGTAGGAACTGTACGAGACACGCTGCGAGTCGTTACTAAAAGTCGACCTGACAGTTACGCATTGTATTTACGTATCATTGTCTTCGCCATGGCCGTCTACACGTTTCAGAGAGGTTAGTTTTGATGTTTTGAGTTGATTGGTATTTTAGTTGTTGTTTGTAACTGTAATATTTTTATAGTACAGTAGAACTCCAATTATCCGAACTCCAATTAACCGAATCTCCAATTATCCGAATCGCTTGATTCGACAATTTAAAAAACGTAAAGCTATAGTAATAAGTTTTGCAAAATATCAAAGAATTGTTATTTAACACATTTAGCCAATGTGTAATTTTGGACTTTGATGGAACACTATTGACTTAGACTTCATAAAATGTATAGAACACTATGAGCATTGTAAACTGTAAAAATGTTCTTATTTCAATTATTATTAATTTAAAGTTCACTTAGCACCAAAAATGAGGATTTTTCTTTAAAATTCCCGGAATTCCGGTAAAACTCTGATTATCCGAATGGGGTCTGGTCCCTATTAATTCGGATAATCGGAGTTCTACTGTATGTTTATTTACTTGAAAGGTCAAGTTAAATACAAATATAAAACTGGTTGTACAAAGTTAAAATCCAGAATTAAACGATTATTGTATTAACCACTTACTGATGTAGTAAACATGTGTTAACTGGTTTAAGATTTAGGAAATTTATTATGTCAAATTCATCATATATTTACTTAGTACAGAATTTAGAAAATTATATTTCCATGAGTTAGAATTACAGCTATTTTACAAATTTATGTAAAATACATGCTAGGCCTACAATATTAGGCGAACAATATTAAGCATCGCACCAACAGAAACATTCTTTATGGGGAGAGAATATTCAATATTCAGGTTCCTTTACTCTGGGATGGTAGAAGGACTAAACTGTCCAAAAACGTCCTGCCTACCTCCCTTGTTATTTTAAATTCACGTTTCCTCTTATGTGGCCAATAGTTGCCGGTAGCAAGAAAATTCAAAACCAATTTGATTTCACTGTTTGAAGTTTTTAAATTCTAAATATTAACTCACTACTCTGGCTGCTAGCCACTAGTTTACCAGTTAGTTTACTAGTTTACTTCTAGCCAGTACAACAGTACAAGCATATATAGGGCTAAACTTACCATCAGTTTCAATTGACACTACTTGCCCTGTGGATAAGCTGTGTTATAGTTTGTCATACTGTGCATACCCTTTAGTTAAAAATGAGAAAATTACTTTTGAACTTTTTTTAGTGTAATAAAATGATATTATATTTTGTTTATACAGTTAGTAAAAATTATTAGTTTGATTTTAAACACTTTCCTTGGGGTTCTATTTAATTCTATAAATCTTATAAGATGCTTAGCCTAATGTTCCCAGAATGTAAAAAAATTATATGGTAGTTGGTAGTGTTACTAATTAGATCAATTTTACATGATTTCTTTCATTTTATAGATGAGAAGAATATGACTTACTTGTATACAATACTAAAATTCAACTGGAACGTCCAGACGTACAGCACCTTTCGAACATTTCAGTCTTCATTTTTTATTTTAGGTAAGTTCAATGGTATACTACACCTCAAAATGCGTTATATATAACTTCCAGGTACATTTAGCAGCTAATTCACATTATTATTAGTTCTATTCAAAACCCTACTGATGTTTTAAATAACACAAAATCTACAATATAAGCTTAAATATTTTGTTATTTCATTTCAAAGGTTCTTATAACTACATGTTCTCAGGTCTTTTTAGCGAATTTCCCATATAGGGAATAAGCTATTACCGTAGTACTCATGGTGAGACCTGGACGCGGGACCGATTTTTTTTTTCGTTTTGAGGTCCCTAGAGGCCAAAAACACCATCCGTTCAAATTCATATATATATATATATATATATATTTATATATTTATATATTTATATATATATATATGTGTCCGTTAGCACGATAACTCAAGCAAAAATGATCCGATTTTGATGAAATTTGGTACAAACGTGTAAACCTACGTTTATTCGAACGAGTTCGCAATCCAGCATGATCGGACCATGGGAACGGGGGTTTACGGGGGGTTTTATGGGGTAAAAATAGGTTTTTCCTATTTTTTACCCAAAAAAACATAAAATTTAGCAATTTCTTTTCAAAGCATTTTGTAGAGCTTAAAAAAACAAATAATTTAGTATATTGAAGCGTTATTATGCGCCTAATGGTTACGGAGAAAATTCCAAAAAATTGTAAATTTAAAATTCCAATGTTATTCTTATGGAGAATAAGTAAACTGTTGTAGTTTGCTTGTTTATGAACATATTTTGATCAAATTTGAAAAATATTTTTATTTCTTACTAACTATTAACATTTTACAAAAAAAGAACAGTTTTATCTTCCCTGATGCAGCAAACCTAAGTACTTGTTAAACTAACTCTATTTAAATAGGGAATAAATGTTATATTTTTAAGTAGACATTTCAGTGTAAATCCAATCAGTCAAATGGAAATTCGCTTAGTCTGCAGGTTTGCTGCGGCGGGGGTATTTAAATTTAAGAGGTTTACGGTCTCTTTTAACCTTGCGTTTGACTGTCAACATAGGCTTTGGGCCTGTGCATGGAACGCATCCAGTAAAGCAAGGTGTGAGTAAATAAAGTGGTAGCTGGTATCAGGATCGGAAACCACAACATCGCTGCGTTGGGCGCAAAGTCCGTGGCACTACATACTCATCCCTTTCTCCCCCGGCATTTAAAGTTGAACTTTTAACAAATACCTTTAAAATTTGACTCTTGTACTGGTTAACCATATGTGTGACAACTTGATGTGTAATGTGTATTGCTTAACCATATGTGTGACAACTTGATGTGTAATGTGTATTGCTTAACCATATGTGTGACAACTTGATGTGTAATGTGTATTGCAGGACTACTGGTAGGTGCTCCTATCCTAGGCAAGATGTTTGGTTTGAGAGACACAGTGATTGTCATGATAGGAGCCGCGTCTCATTGTGTAGCGAGAGTGGTTTACGCTCTTGCATCTCAACCTGTTGTCTTCTATGTTGGTGAGAGTTTGTTTCAATGAATAAATAGGATGAAAATCCTTGATAGATTTATTATCCTCATATGGATTGGTCAAAGACAGGTTTAAGGCATATTTCTATCCAATATTTGTAGAGTGTGTTTTTAAGGTTACCATTGATTTCTGTGATTTCATCAATGGTAAAGCTACTAAAAAACAATTAATAGCAATATTTACCTTTATTTGTCCATCAATATGGGTCCCAAAGGCCTGTTGAATTCATTAAGCAAAGCAAGGGGTTAGCCGGTTGAGTACAAGAATGAACTGTACTGCACTAGGACATGAATCCAAGACATACCTGCTTTGGTTTTACTGTACTTTGTAGGCCTACTACTGACTGAGCATACAACTGACTCATTTATTTGTAAATTTTTTTTCTTGTAAATTGTAGAGCAAGTTGCGCACTAAAATTGACCCTAAACAGGAGAGAAATATTGAGAGATTAACAGACGTAAATGCAACTGGACACTATTTTAATTGAATTTCTTTGAGTATTTTAACTATGTTTTCATAATTTTGTGTGACCACAGCAACAATATGAAGTTTTCAACATGGCTTGTATTTAAAATAGTTTGTTCCATTAATCAAATATAAAATTGAAGATATTAATTGCTTTTCAGGTGGTGCTTTAGGGGCGCTGGGACCCATTGCAGCTCCAGTGTTGAGGTCGATTGTTTCCAAACTAGTGCCTGCGTCTGAGAGAGGTTAGTGTTATAGTTAGAGATCAATTTCAGAACTGGACGACATTTGCTTTCATTTTCACCATCTTTAAATAAATCATTCATACTTATTGATTTTTACCTTACCACTTTACCTACATGAGTGGTTTTCAGATTTTTTTGTACGTCTACGCAAATGGCATTTTTTACGTTTTGAATAAAAAAGTCTCAAACCCTAGTCTTAGTTTTTAACGTTCCACGCACAGGCGCCTGTGGACCATATGGACAGACAAATGCAAATTAAAAGAGGCCGCCAACCTCTTTAAAAAAGAAGACAAATTATCTGGGTCCTGAACGATCTTGTATGGAATGGAACCCGCAACCTTTAGATTTGAGTTGAGCACTATAACCACTCGGCTACCTAGTGTGCTATCAACGCTTATTCATCAGGCTTGTTGTCATTTGGGTTACACTAACTTTCCCAGCAACCCTCAAAGAACGTTTTCTAACTGTAAAAAATCTTCTAATGAAAAAGAGAACCTAGAAAAAACTGGAATGTGCAAATTAAAATCTGGTAATTGTGAACAATATTACATTTAGCCAAATAGGTCAGTCTTTTGCAACCTGATTAGAAGAACACAACCCAAACCCTCATATTGTCCAACAAAAAGGCAAATGTAGAAAATCTACATTTGCCCAACAGGTATTGAAAATTACCATATAATGGTGTTATTGGACAAAATTGTTTCCATTCTAAGTTACAGTACTGCAAAAAGGGATTTTTATTAGATACTCTAGAATAGTTTCATATCTAATAGATCATTAAAAGAGGACACCACCAACCTATCAAATCCACCATAGCTCCAATTTAAAAAAAAAAATTGAAACTCAAGTGACACTGACGCAACCCACTCGTCAAGGATCAAGACAATTTAGAACAAAAGTGAGGTAGAGCCCAGTAATATTCCAGCTAGTTGTGGCTTGGATTTCACTCGTTGCGGCTAGTGATTTCACATATCTTTGTCTTGTACATATTGATTGGTAAATATTTATTATTTTATATCCGTGTGTGTATCATGCAGACTATATGTAACTTTAACACAATGACTTCCAATGGACTAAATACATTTCACACTGGAGCCTGATGATGGCACATCAATGTGGTGGAAACTCGGTTGCAGAAAACGACTATTTGAACTGGAAGATGAAGGTAGTTAAACATTAATTAGACTATAGCTTTACTTTCTAATGTTTCCCGTATTATTTCCACAGGAAAAGCGTTCTCCCTGCTGTCCGTAGCCGATACTTCGGTACCAATATTGTCCAGTACGATATACAGTCAGTTGTACAACGCAACCATTGACTTTGCTCCAGCCTCCATATTCTGGGTCACAGTCTTCACTCAACTACTAGTGTTTGGCTGTGCTCTGTAAGTTGTTTAGCAAGAATCTAATCTAACCCTCCCATTCAAACATCAATGCATCGAAATTCTGAGGTGTCAAGTGTCAATGCATTGACGGTAGTGCAGATTTCAGTCCGATTTGGATTGTATATCACTGTAAACAGCAGAATACTGGCTTTCTCCTGGTGTCTGTTTCCAGTTTCCACTTCCAGTTGTTATAAGAAAAAGTTAGGCTTAAACCTTTAAAAAATTAGTAAACTTTGGCGTAGTGCTACATTCAAGAGTATTTTTGAAAAGGGCGTCTTTTCATTAATCTGGGTTAAAAATTGTGATTCTTTACATTAATGTAGGCGGTTGCAATAAAATTAGCTGTAAGACCCTGAATTTTAGACATATTTTAACACACTATTCATGAGCATCAAGAGAAGTTTAAAATGTGTTCATCAAAATGCCAAATGAACAAATGCCTTTACAACGAGGTATCCCTTAACCTACCTTTACATTTGAAAATTTTCCAAAAACTACCCCCATCCTCCAAAAAAACTACCCGTGCGTTTGGGAGATTTCAATATAATTTCCCCAAATTCTACAGAATAAAAATAGGAGGGTTTAAGTTGTTAGGAATGATCTACTTCTATTGGTTTGGCCGCAATACATTGTGCACTGCCTTGCCATGTAGGACCTATAGTTAAAAGATATAGCATACAGATGCTTTGTCACTCTTCTTACCATGTTTGTGTTTCCAGAGCAATACAGTGTATCCAAGGGTCAAGAAAGTTAGAGCAAGCTGTTGATCCACAAGAAGAAGTTACAAATGAACAAGTAGTCGCATAATCTTCACTGTCAAACAGTTGATGTAATACCAGGACATATCAGCTCTATACTGTGTTACTTAGTTTTTACTGTTGTAGTGTTTGTTTAAAGCCTGAACAAACTAGAGAGATTCTCATTCTCTACTGTGATCATTCCTTTTAAGTATTAAATATTTACATTATTATGTTTGTTTTTTTTCTTCCCACTGAGATTTGGGTATTTATTGGTAGGTAATATATTGTTAGGTATGTTGAAGTATTACAACTTTAGTACGTTATTTTATGCAAATGTATAATTTATTTAGAAATATTAATTGAACTTTGTGTGTTTCTGTCTGAATAACTATATCACTAAGAACTTGAGTTGGGGACACATTAAAGAAGGAACAGTTATGACAACTAACTCACCTTAACACGTTCGCTGCGGCCCATCAAATGGCAAGTGTAGCCCCAGTGAGGGGCAGCCCGCAGCGTCGAACAAACCCAATTGTGATTGGCTTTTCAAATTTCGGTCTGACGAATAGCAAATAACGGGCGGTGATGTCCTGCTTTAAGACGAGAGTCAACGTAGTTTGCTAAAACACCCACAGATAGCAGCACTGCTTGGAACGTAGCCGGTCCCATTGTATTGCCAATTGGAGGGAGAAAGACAGCACAGCAAGTTGATTTTTAAGCTTGCCAGATGGGAATTTTTAACTACCAACCTGCACCACAACAAAATCAAGTCACCCACTACACGCTAACGTGGTATAGATTAGGTCGGCCTTTGACCGACGCTAGAGCAAAAACAAAGATATGCAAAGGTCATTGCCGAAAGTATCCGATCGGTTTCGGCAGCACCTGAACACTACTCGGCCTATATCCGATCGGATACGCCCGCAGTGAACGTGTTAATATATTTTGAATTGTAGAATAAAGAGGATAGCAGCCGCCTTACATTGAAGAAATACAGGTAAACCATATAGAGCTTACAGAAGACACACAATATTTAAATTCATAAGTTTTTAATTCATATAAATTGGACGTAAGTAATTTATTGTCACAACACAATATTTCACCTCGTGGGGAACTTTCTCTACACTTGACAAAGTCCCCAGGGACTATAGCTCGGCCGCTTAGAAAACGACCTGCGCGCTAATGCTAAACCAATGCTGGAGGAGGTCGTTTTCTAAGCGGCCGAACTATAGTGTGTGTTCTGTATTTTCTATGCCCTTACCTGTACTTCTCCAAAGTAAGCTGCTATTATCTTTATCCTCTTTATTCTAAAATTCAAAATCCTGGCCTGGAGCCTTTCTTTGAACAAAACCACAGAAAACGTACTACTATAACCCAGAATGCCAACCGCATGGTAAAAAGCATTAAGTGTTTTGCACGCTGGTGGCGCTGCCTACGGATTGACAGGCAAAGCTCTCTCAAACCGCTTAATGCTTTTTACCATGCGGTTGGCATTCTGGGTTATAGTAGTACGTTTTCTGTGACAAAACTCACCTTAATATATGTTCACGTAAACCTATTAAATTAGAACAATGTTTTCCTAGAACTCCTAAAGATTCCTGTAAGATATTTAGATAAGCTCTAGACCAATTTTAGTTTAGTTTGTGAACATTGTGGTTTTCTGTCCATAAAAATGTACTAAATTACTAAATTTGTATAAATGTCTTTAATATACACATACACATATATATAAAATATAATACTACTATATTAATCAATGCACTGAGAGAAAGAGACACTAAATTAACTAGTAGTATAGCTTTTTAAGTTAAACTATAACTAGCGAAGCATTATATTTTGTTGTCGAGAGAGAAGCAGTGCGGATGTTTCTTATAGGTACCAGCGTCTTCCAACACTCCCCACGGACTACATAGCCAGGGATCCTCTGTATCTCTCCTCCAGACATCCAACCTAGCGATCAGTCCGTCCACTACACTCTGGAAACAAACAGATGCCATCATGGAGCTATTGTGGGTTATGTTTGATTGGAAAGAGGCAGAGTCGATACAGGTTCAGCGATGTGTGTTATTTGTCATACAATCAATATGGTTAAATTATTCTGATTACCAGTACAGTAGAACCTCTTTAATCCGAACTAATTGGGACCAGGGGTAGTTCGGACTATTGAATAGTTCGGATTACAGAACATATTGTTGTTTTTACATAACAATAGCTAAAACATGGCTAAAATTGATCAACATTATTTTTGGGAAAGTGAAAAAATGTTTTATAAAGTAAAATACAGTGTTTATTTAATACAGTAGTTAAACATGGTGAATAAAACGTACTGTAAATTAAATACAGTATACAATAAAGAACTGCTGTACTGTGTATAGAGTACAGCAATGAGGGGTTCGGATTAGTGGATGTTCGGATTACGGGGGTTCGGATTAAAGAGGTTCTACTGTATCTCTTAATAGGCTGATAACAGGAGACATAAACCCGAATCAAGGAAAAACTTAATTTATTCAGAATTCATTTTCCTTCTTCTGGATATTGATAACATTAATACAAAATATTTTGGTTTCCTTACAATATCCATAAATGTTGTTGATACAATACTACATGTTTCGTGGCGACGGCCACATCATCAGGTTGATCCTCTTGGTAGATTCGTCATTCATAAATTTATTCTTCCGGGTGACCATGTATGAGTGTGTTTTGTAGTGAGATTTCTATTGTAGCTTCGTTCTGACTGAGACCAGCTATTTCTTTAGCCAGCGCTATTTTTATTAAGTGTCCAATTATCAAGGGCATCTAGATGCAGTGTCGGTCTTTCAAAAATTTTGGCTTTTCCAGGGTCGAAACAGTACCATGCTAATTGTTAGGACTATGGTGACACAATAGGGTCACACAACATAAACATTTATATTAATCTCAAGAGTAGAACTTATTGATTACAGATTAAGGTAGTGGACGCAACTGCCCGTTCTCAAAATTTATTCGGTTTAAGGGCTAAGGTTTCCTGGGTTCCCCCACCATTTTTTTAGCTATTAAATGTACATATCAGCTGTCGGCTGGGGATGGAATTGCTTCCCCACAAATCGCCTAAATTTTGGGAACAGAGTTTACCCAAATATGAATTTGTGCTTTTGAAAGATAAAAAGACTGAAACTCACTTTGAAGGAAGAGTTGTACGCCAAATTGTCAAGTTCCTCAGGGTCAGTTGTGATGTCAAACATTTCCCACTGAGGTCTGTAGTAATACTGCTTAAGAGATCTGTTCCACTTCAACTCTTGCTTGGTCCTCGTGCGGTTCAGAATGTCCTATCAGAAATAACCTAAGTGTTTACACAGTACAGTGGAGGTTCCAAGTGGGAGCTGCAGGGACTAAAGCTCCTCCCCATTTGACCTGGATAAATATACAAATACTTACATTTTGCCCTAAAAATGTAACCCGCAACACCGCAACTTTATAAATTATCCCTGCCGCAGCAAAGCTGCAGAACTATTAAAGCTGCTGAGTACTGTAGTTTGCCACCACAGCTGTAAGTAGGCTCGTGGTAACATCTGCAATACAGTTGCAATTTGCAATAATCATAATACAATAAGTAAACATAAAAGTATCGTAGATAGTAAAAAACTATCTGGAAGAGAGAAAGCCTAAACTCTTATAACGTGCATAGGATGATTACATCACTGTATCAATAACACAGACGACAAAAAAAACATAATTATTATAATTCAAATTCTTGAAACTGGACAAACACAAAAAAGAACCTGAACTCTTAATTTACAAACCTGGAAGGATGGTGATAGGAAGAAGTCCTGATCAATCGGGAACGGCATGAGGTAGTTAAGGTTGTGGATAAGTCTATATTTTCTTGTGCGAATGGCTCGCATCGGGTAGTACATTGTCACTTCATGCAGACTATGGCTGCCAAACACTGCTTCGTTGTCACTAATATGCTCTGTGAATTTAAATCAATTAAGTTATTCACAAAAGTAAGACATTTCAACATGATAAAAATATAGTTCAGAGCCAAATTAAACGTTTAGCGAAATTCCTAAATAGGGAATATAAGCTATTACTGAAGGTCTCATGGTAATACATCCACCCGGGACCGATTTACTTTTTCGTTTGATGTCCCCCAAGGCCAAAAACACCATACGTTCAAATTCATGTATATATATATGTGTGTGTCTATTAGCACGATAACTGGAGCAAAAATCATCCAATTTTGCCCGCTGGGTGCCCCCAAACCACCGCCTCCAGCACTAGAAAAAAAGGGAGGCTGCTCTGGGGTTTGCCTAGGGCTCCACTGACCCTTAACGCGGCCCTGTTTGTACGGTTATTGGTTATTGATTGGAATTTCCTCAGGATTGTACAGTGACCTTCTAATTACTAAGCGAGCAAAATAACTACTGAGTCACCCAGCCTAGTCTACATAAATACACTTATAACTTAATACATTGGATGGATGACTGTAAGGCCAGCAAGCTGTAGGATATTATGTGTTCATATTTTCCAAAACACAAGTAGAGAAACATGCTTTGACATGCATGCCAACTAACCGAAAGATACCTGATTAATTTATACAAATAAACAAAATTACCTTCACGTAGAAGTGGCAACAGTGATCGGCCGGTGAAAATTGGATACTTTCTTGGATAAAGAATCTTAAACCAATCCAACACCGTCGGGGTGATGTCCAATAGACTGGAGAGGCTGTAGGTTACTTGGTTGTGTCGGTCCTCTGGTCTAGGGGAGGATATTAACATAGGTACAGCCACTCCTGAAAACAACAAGTAGATTTGAAGATTGTATGCAGGAACAGCCAAGGCCCCACTAGAAAAATAGGCCATGCTGCAGGATCCATGACGTCACACTTGTGGATAGATTCACAGCCATATCCCATATGTTTTAGGTAAATAAGCGGGTTGTTTGTAAGATTTTGTGACCACTGTGTTGCGCTGCCCACGCTGCAGCATGGCCTGTTTTTCTAGTGGGGCCTCTTGAATTATTCTCCCAAGTGGAGGTGTTTAGGGATAATCTAAGTAAAACTACGACGAAAAACGAATTTAAACTATAAAATAATCAAATGTATTTCTCATTAATGTTTTCATGACAAGGAACAATATTGGACAATAAAACAGACAGCTGATAGTAAAAACAACATTCATATCATCTGTATGACTATTAGAAATAAATAGAAAAGGCAGGCATTTTCAACACTTTCCCTTATTTGCATAGTCATGCCGAGAGTCCGAGATTTTCTCGCAGAACTTGAAGTCTTGGTCGAGGTATAGGCTTTGTCAGTATATCTGCTAGTTGATATTCTGAACCGATGTGCTTTACAGTCAGCATACCTATATTTATCCTGTCTCGAATGAACAGGTACTTCCGCTGAATATGTTTGGTACGAAAGTGAAACTCTGGGTTTTCACAGAGTTTTCTTGCTGATTCGTTGTCAACTTTCAGGATAGGAACAACAGACAATCCTATAAGTTCTTTGAACAAACGAGCAATCCAGATTGTTTCTTTTGAACCAAGATTAGCTGCAATGATTTCAGCTTCACAAGTTGAGTTCGCAACTAACTCCTGACGACGACTAAGCCAAGTGATAGCTGCACCCGCGTATTTAATAATAACTCCACTTGTTGATCGCATTGTAGTTGGACAGCCAGCAAAGTCCGCGTCACTATAGCATTCCAGTAGACGTGTTTTAGGTTTGGATTGGTACACTAGCTTCTGGTCCACAGTGCCGGTCAAATAGCGTATAACACGCTTTGCTCTTGTCACATCATCTTGTGTAGGATTTTCTAAGTGACGTGATAGAACACTTACACTAAATGCAATGTCAAAACGAGTACCACGAGCAACATAAAGTAGGGCTCCAACTGCCGATCGGTATGGAAAATCGGAGGCTTTCCCTGGTGTTTGAGCAGTGAGCTTCTCTATGGGAGTAAGTACTGGCTTGCATCCTTCCATGTTAAATCGAGAAATGATCTTCTTGATATACGCTGATTGGCAGACCAATATATTACCATCACTTTGAGAAATTTCAAGTCCGAGAAAGTATGACACTTCTTTAGCAACAATTTCAAATTGTGAACGAAGTTGCCCAATAAATAAGTCCATTTCAGTCTGACTAGTCGCTGCGACTAATCCGTCATCAACATAGAGTGCAACGATGATTTTTCCAGCAGGGGTAGGACAAATGTAGACGCAGGGATCTTCACGGCTCTGTCGAAATCCTAATCCTTTCATGAAGTCGTCAAACTGTTTATTCCAGCATCGAGGTGCCTGTTTCAAGCCGTATAAGCTGCGTTTGAGACAACAAACACAATTTGTCCCATCTGAATATCCTTCAGGCTGCTTCATAAAAATCTCTTCTTCAACGTCTCCGTACAAGAACGCAGTTGAGACGTCAAACTGCCGTAGAACCATCTTCTCAACAGTTGCGATGGACAATATTGATCGAACGACCTCCAGACGAGCAACCGGGCTGAAGGTTTCGGCATAATCAATACCAGGTCTTTGCACACATCCTTTGATGACCAATCTCGCTCGATATTTGTTAACACTTCCATCAGGATTGCGCTTTATTCGGTAGACCCACTTGTTGTTGATAGTCTTCTTTCCCGGAGGGAGTTCGGTCAATTCCCATGCACCGTGTTTATGCATGGACGCCATTTCTTTGTCCATTGCTGTTTTCCATTCAGCACTATCTTCTGAACTGATGGCTTTAGTGTACGACTTAGGTTCATCGTCAACAAGAAGAACTTCGGCAAAGTTAGACGAGACGTAATCGTTTAGCCACTCGGGTTGCCTTCTTTCCCGAGTCGAGTGCCGAGTTGCAGGATCGTTGGATAACTCTCCATCTTCACTATCACTGCTACTTGACGGGTCCTCAGTCGGTATAGGCTCATCATTACCCTTCACTGGAGAACTAGGCTCGTCAATAGTCTCTTCAACTTCTTGCCAATCTTCTTCGACGTCATTGGTTTTCTCAATCTTGATAGGCCACTCAACTTTCTTGTCACAGTCTCCGACGATTTCGTGAAAAACGACGTCACGAGAAACTACGATATCTCTTCTCTCTGGGACGTAGATTCGATATCGTTCATCGCCATCGTATCCAACCACAGCTTTCTTGTCCATTTTTCGCCTCCTCTGAACAGGAACATGGACGTAGCACTTTGAGCTGACCACTCGCAGATGTTTGATCCTCGGCTTTTGACCAAACCAGAGCTCAAAGGGTGATTTGTTGGCAACTGCTGACTTTCCCACTCAATTCAAAACGTAGCCAGCAGTGATGACAAGTTCAGCCCAGATCGCTGCAGGAAATGTTACATTTGGATTGGCATACTTGAAGGTACGGGCCATTTCGACGATCGTTCTGTTCTCTCTCTCTACAGCACCATTTTGCTCGGGTGTATACGGCGCTGTCAGACGTTGGTTAACACCATATTCTCTGAGGATTTGACGAACTTCAGCGTTGTCAAACTCACCACCGTTGTCGCTGAGAAACTCTTTGACGTGATGACCAATTGTGCGTGCTTTAGCCAACACTTCACGCAACGCTTCCTTCACAGCAGATTTTTCCCTTGCGACAAAACAGTACCGGTACCTTGAAAAGTGGTCTTTTATGACGATCAAGTATCGGCGACCTCCGAAGGATGGGTCAAACGGGCCGCAAACATCACCGGATAACAACTCACCGGGGGGGGGGGGGGGGGGGGGGCTGAGGGGCGTTCTCGTGTTCCGAATAGTAGACGGTGTGCCTTTCCGAACTGACATGGTTCGCAGATCTCGTAGTTGGCTGGCACTTTGATACCCATTTCGGATTCGAGCTTCGATCGGACGTAACGTTTATCCATGTGACCCCAGTGCTCATGATATAACTGCAGAATGCGATTGTCTTCTGCTGCATTAGCGCAAACCTCAGATGGTTGAACTGTGTGAAATGAGGCACGATACAAAGTTCCGCCACAGTTTCGAGTACCTTTGAATACAGTTTGTTCGTTAATAGTGAACCGACACTCGGTATTAGTCGATTCAAACCTGCTATTAGGGTTTCGATCATGAGCTGCGAGAATGGACACTAAGTTCCGAGAAACGTCAGGAACATACCAGACATCGTTGAGTGTGAACGTTTCCAGTTTTCCATTTTCATAGTTCGCTACTTCAACGACTCCACAGCCAAGAGCTTTTATAACTTCCTTTCCCGCCGCCTTTACTGTTGCGTTCGAGTTTGCAGGAAAAGGTTTGTACTCCGTGAACCAACTCAGATTTGACGTAATGTGCCGCGTAGCGCCATTGTCGATCCACCACTGGTCGTTCGTGGTCACGATATTCGTGTCACTGCTGATGGAAATCAGCGCACTTCGGTTGTCGGTCACGTTAACTTGCGAGCACTTCGTTCTCTTCTTATCAGTGTCACTCGTTTTTGAACTAGTGCTAATGCCATTAGCTCGAGCTGGATATGCAGGCTTGCCGTCAGCTTTCCATTTAGAACACTGGCGAATCCAATGACCTTTCCCCGAACAGTATTTGCACGAAGTGTCACCTTTTGGTTTCCTATTCTTCTGACCACCACTGTTTGTGGCACTAAGAATGTCACCAGCTTTTGAAGTAGGAGCAACATTACGCTCATGAAGGATCAATGCAGATGAAACATCTTCAAGTTTCTTGCTCTCGTTTGCCTTCATAAGTAAGTAGCTAGACTTGAACGATTCAAAACGCTTCGGCAAAATGTGTAACACTTTTGACACAAACAGGAGCTCAAGAAAATCTTCGACTGTTTGGATGTTACGCGTTTTGAGGCCAGCTGCAAATTCGCGGTTTTGATTCTTCAATCTTGAAAGCACGGTCGGGGCATCCTCGGTATCATCCCATTCCATACTGAAGAAATCCAAACACTGACGAAACAACTGATCTTCTGCCTTGTTATCGAACTGCTCGATCAAAATGTCCCACGCTTCCTTAGCTGATAATCTTCCGGAAATACGTTGATGTAGATCATCACTAACGCACTGAGAAATGACTATTTTTGCCTGAGTCGTGGATTTGTTGAATTTCTCAAGTTCTTCCTTTTCGGGTTTAGTCGGAGGCTCAGAGAGGGTAGGCTTTTCTCTCTTTCCCTCGACGATATCAACCGCGTCGAACAACTCTAGAACGTCCAACACTCGATCTTTCCACGTTGGCCAATCTTCTGCTCCTTTCAATGGTTTTATACCTTTCACGTATTCCATTTGTATAGCTGGACGAACTCGATCGAAAGATATACCAAAGAAATAAAACTCTTGAGACAGAAAAATACGTCAGTATAAATTTTTCTTACCGTGTACGTAGTAGACTAGATTTCCCAACACTATTATGTACATAAAACGATGCTGGGCCCATAACCTCTTGAATTATTCTCCCAAGTGGAGGTGTTTAGGGATAATCTAAGTAAAACTACGACGAAAAACGAATTTAAACTATAAAATAATCAAATGTATTTCTCATTAATGTTTTCATGACAAGGAACAATATTGGACAATAAAACAGACAGCTGATAGTAAAAACAACAGGGCCTAAGTCCAGCTTTGAACCATAAAAAAGCTACTGACAGGTCACAAAACATAGCTCGTCTGGTAACAAGAGAATCAGTCAATCAACTGACTACTCAACTACCTCTTTTCATTAACATTCTATAACAGAAACTATCGAGTCAAATAACCTAGAAGTGTAGCCTACCTGCCTACCTGAATCATACATGTTAGTGCGTCCAGTGGGGAATGGTATTCCATTATCAGATGTGTAGATCACAAGGGTATTAGCCCCAAATCCTGCGTCTCCCAACTCCTTTAACACCAGCCCGACACCTGTAACATAAATTGGGCTCAAATTTTTAGTCTGAGAAAACTTTTAGCAAAGTTTTTGAAAAATAATAACAAACCATTAAAAACTGCAGAACTTTCAGAAGTTACAATGAATTATTATTTATTTTTTTTTTTTTTTTTGAGGTCCCCCAGAGGACAAAAACACCATCCGTTAGCACAATAACTCAAGCAAAAATGATCTGATTTTGATGACATCTGGTATAAACGTGTAAACTCCATTTATTTGAAAGAGTTTGCAAACCAGCATGATCAGACTATGGGAAAGGGACATTTTGGGGCAAAAATTGTTTTTTTTTTCATTTTTGACCCTTAAAACATAGAATTTTTCAATAATTTCTTTACAAACTGTTTAGTAGAGCTTAGAAAATTCCAACAGTGCAAATTTAAAATCCCATGTTATTGTTATGAAAATGAATAAACTGTTATAGTTTACTTGTTTATGGATATATTTTAATTACATTTTACAAATTTGTTTATTTTATACTAAGCTATCAATATTTCAATACAAAAATCACACCTTATTATTTCCCTGTAGCAGCAAACCTAGGTACTTATTCCAATTAATTAATGTTATTTAAATAGGAAATGAATCTGACAATTTTAAGGGAATATTTCAATGTAAATCCAGCAAGGTAAATGGAAATTTGCTTAGTCTGTAGGTTTGCTGCAACGGAGGTGATTTAGTAGTTAGTCTGTGCTACAAGCTCTAAGACATACCAGCCCACTTGTTTACCATACACATACATGCGTTCACCTCTCAGCTTACAGGAGTTCTCTGTCATGTGTTGTTGTGTCATGTGTGTCTCCTAACACACCTGGTACATGCTTGGTAAAACAGTAGCGAATCACTTGTGGAAATATCTAGTTTACTGTAAACCTCATTTTATCAGCTATGACACTACAACGTTATTGTTAATAACAACATTTTATTGTCAAGTTCACATTACAAAAAGTAAGCAGTAAGTGAGTTGTGGTTAGGTGTTCGACCTGGATGGGAAAAAAAGTGTTTTACAATCGTGACGAGGCAGACATTTTTTTGTGAGATCCGCGAAATGTCAGACTTTGATGCCATGGATGATTGTGTGTTTTGACGAGTCCTGGACATCATAGGCAAAAATAAAGGTGAGTGAAGCCACAGAAAACATACTACTAAAACCCAGAATGCCAACGCATGGCAACGCTGGTGGCGCTGCCTACGAATTGACAGGCAAAGCTCTCTCAAAACACTTAATGCTTTTTACCATGCGGTGGGCATTCTGGGTTATAGTAGTATGTTTTCTGTGGTGAAGCCCACAAATAATCTTCATAACTTACAATAAGTCCTAACACACTAACCTTGGTCAAGCCTAGAGATGGTAGTGTACTGAGCCGCAATGTCTTCTCTAGCTGCAGGTGTGTCTTGTACAAAATATGGAACCTCTACCTTTAACACAACTCTGTTTTATTTGCTGCTTGGTAAAGAGTAAGAAATAAAATAGAGACTGATACAAAATAATCCTGAAGATTTTTACTAGTACTGAAACTACTTGGTAAATTAAATTTGAAGATTACAATCAGAAAGTAATTGGAAATAAACTTTAGCTTAAAATATGAACGCAAGTATGCCACTATCTAAAAGTATTGAATTAATTGACCATATTGAGTATCTTGTGAATGTAAAGTTTCCCAGAGTTTCAACTAACAGAGAGAGATTTACCTCTTCAGGTTTGTAGATTGTTGGTGTCCAGTCGGGGATGTGCCCCATGTTTGGTTCTCCGTTTCCAAATTTCTCACAAAAGTTTCCATATTGAGGGTGAGTGTGCCCGCAGCGATGAGGGTCGTGAAACGCAACGTACAAGAAAAATGGCCTGGTAACCAAACACTATTTTGAGTACCTTATAAAATACATGGACTGTTGTAAAATAAGTAATTGTTATTAAAGTATTTGACTTAACCAATGTTGGGTTTATTTGTGACTATTATCAAGACTTATGAAAAAAGTGGATAAGTTTAGTTTATTTGATAAATATGAATGCACAACTTCAGAATAATGATGATATAATTCCAAATGAATAGCACTTCATTGTTTTAAGTTTTTAAGGATTGCCTGTTTTAACCAACTTTTTGAGTTATTCAACCTAGGTCTAGTCCCGTTAGGGTCGGTTAAGGAGATGGTCGGTCTTCTGTACAGAGAAAACAGGACTTCTATTAGGTGAACACAAATACCACTGTGTAATGGTGTGCATAAAGAATTCAGCATCCTGCTATGAAGGATATAGGACATGATACTATTGCATTTAAACATATATCACCATAAAAAAGTAGAAAATGAAGATTACTTAGATCTGCCCTGAGCTAGGAAGTCCCGAACCAGAAGTTTTATTCGGGTAATGTTGCGCCCAACTTGCAAAATAGAGTTGTTTTCTTCAGTTTCCTCGTAATCAAACTGGTAATTTTCCTTTTGCCCAACGTGTTTCTTGCCAATGATTCCTAAAAATGATATAAAACCAATAAAACTGTAGCAGAGTTTGTGCTTGAGTACTTTTCCACCGGAAAACGTGACAAAACTCAATACTCTGTAATGATTTAACTCTTTGAAACCAAGGAGTTGTGTTTATTGGTCAAGTTACACCTTTTTGTATAAGCACAATAACAAGAGACAAATAATGGCCATTTGCCTTGTGTCGGCCACACAACCTGCATCAATCTTTTCCGAGTTTAAGTGTAGCTGGCCTAGATGTTAAATACAGTGGCGGATCTAGAACAGTCACAAGGGCCAGGGGGGGCAACTGTGGGGTCTGGGGGGTTCGGGGGTACCCGCCCAAAAAATGTATGTAAACGGCAGTTTTATACCATTTCAGTGTCCAAAGTTAGTGTTACAAATTATTTTACCCAATGTGTATGAACTACTGTATTACATGCAGTAAAAAAATGTATTATGTATGCCCGAGGGGATGTATAGCCCCCCCTTTAGATCCTCCACTGGTTTAATATTTGTGTTCTGTTGATATGTTAGCTCTAAAGTCATTTGTTGAACATTCACTTCAATTTGATGAACCTAGGATTTGATAATGGGTCATTTGACACAAAACTGGTACAGTATAACCTTGATAACAAGACTCTCATAGGGATCATAAAATAAGACTTGTTATCAAGGTTGACTTCTTATCGAGGTTTGCAATAACATGTGATTAGGGGTAAAATAATTTCAAGGGGATTTGAAAATGACCCTTGTTATCAAGGCTGACTTGTTATCGAGGTTCTTCTTATCGAGGTTCTACTGTACTATAATCCATTTACCCAGGTATGTAGCAAAGATGGTGTCAATTAGGATGGAAAGATGAAGGAAAGGCTCCCAACAGCACTGAGAGTCAAACCAGATAGAAGGTATATTGGTACTAAATTAATCCGTTGGCAATTCCTTGAGAATACTAATTATACAAAATAACAAATGAACGGTGGTGGGGAAAGGATATGTGAAAATCTCATTCCCCATTCTAATTGACACAATACCAAATTGCAAACACTTTAGGACCCTTTATTGAACCCTTTTTGTGTTGAATTTTAGTCTTAAAAGCATGTTTCAAGTGAACATTCTTCATTTTACACTTCTTAGTGTAGAAACATACAGACAGCGTAGCGTAGCGCAACGTAGCGCAGCGCAGCGTAGCGTATAGGAGCGCAGCGTAGTCCAATACACACAGAGAGCGCAGCGTAGCGTAGCGCAACATAGGTTGTAGACGGTCTTAATAGGGTAACTTACATCAGTATACAGGGTGTCACAAAAAAGTGTGATGGGCTATACAGGACCTAATTCTACATGCAAACATAAGTCAAAAATGAAGAATAAATTTTTTTTGATTTCGGCTTAGTTTAGCCGTAATCCGCCATTTTGTTTTTTGGGGAAAATATTTATTATTTTAAAATCCCTTTGAGATATTTTTACGAAACTTGGCAAAATTGTTTACACTATAGTAAGTAACATTTATAAAAAAATTATTATTTTAACTTTCCAAATTTCAAAATGGCGGCCGTTTGAATTTTTTAATGCCAAATTTCATGAAAACCGGTACCTAAATCCAAATTTAGTATTTACACACAAGTTTTTAACTTTTATTATTTATTATAAAGTTTTAGTATTTATTATAACAAATCCAACAAAACAAAAATGAATAAAATCGGTTCATAGATAAAGAAGCTGTGTTTATTTTAGTAATTTAGACAGAAATTATAAATATTAAAATGTATTAAATGTAATTTAATAATTTATGTAACGTATTAAGTAATTTCAGTCTAAATTACTAAAATAAACACAGCTTCTTTATTTATGAACCGATTTTATTCATTTTTGTTTTGTTGGATTTTTCATAATAAATACTAAAACTTTTGTGTCTCACAAAATTTTAATTTAGGTACCGGTTTTCATGAAATTTGGCATTACAAAATTCAAACGGCCGCCATTTTGAAATTTGGAAAGTTAAAATAATATATTTTTTTTTAATGTTACTTACTATAGTGTAAACAATTTTGCCAAGTTTCGTAAAAATACCTCAAAGGGATTTTGAAATAATAAATATTTTCCCCAAAAAACAAAATGGCGGATTACGGCTAAACTAAGCCGAAATCCAAAAAAATTTATTCTTCATTTTTGACTTATTTTGCATGTAGAATTAGGTCCTGTATAGCCCATCACACTTTTTTGTGACACCCTGTAGAAGATAACACTGTCGAAGACGGCGTCGTATTAGTTTTGTCGAAAATACCTTAAGGTGGCAGTTTTTGATCAGTAGGAGAAGTGTCGTGGTGCATGAAGTGTGTAAAGGCAGGAACAAGCATGGTGAATACATCTTATTTCAAATCCTTAGGAAACACGAGTCTCGGTTTAAGAATTATGCAAGAATGTCGACTACAACGTTCGATTACATATTTAGTTTGGTGAAGGATGATTGAGAGAAGCTTACAACTAATTGAAGAGGACCAATTGATGCAGAAAAGAGACTAGCATTGACTTTTAAGCGTGTCTGCAGTCGAATGCGCTCCAATACGCTCTGAGAAAAACAAAATAGTTTGTTCCTCAGTCGTACGCTGCGCTGCGCTGCGCTACGCTACGCCGAAATACGCTACTAGTATGTCATACCTCATTTCAATGCACGGTTTTGATTTAAAACATGCGCTGCGCTGCGCTACGCTGCGCTACGCTACGCTGTCTGTATGTTTTTACACTTAGAGATCAACCAGTGTAGTTAAAACATTCCTAATATAAAATTACTATTATGTTTTACTGATGGGTGAATAAGCTAGGCTATTCCTTTACGTCAACAGTTTAAAGTGTGGTAGTCAAACTCACGACGCAGGGCCTGATTACCCATTAGGCTAATTAGGTTGGAGCCTAGGGCGCCAGTCAGCTAAGTGTTTTAGGGGGGCGCCAGACAGCTAAGGCTAAGACTTAAAGTTGGGACTGGGGGCGTAAAAAATGTATTATTCCAAAAAAGGATTCACGCAGATAGTCACACCCCCATAAACCATATACTTAAAATATTCGTAATGACGAGAAACCTTGCGCAAAACTATTCATTATTTCATAAAGTAATTCCTTTCTAAAGGGAACTTTCCATATAGGTGAGTGAAAATTTAAAAACGTACGTTTTCAGGAAAAGCACTTTGCAAATTTTTTTCCCCTTTTTTCAAAACTTTTATTATTATTTTTATTTCATTAACATTTTAAGTTTCATAAAATGTCCATGGTAACGCAATATCTTTGGTAGTTTTCTTTTTAAAGAGCATCTTTAGTAGAAAAACACAAAATCCTGTCACGACCATAACGGACGTTTAAATGAATATTAAAAATAGTTAATATTATTTTTATAACTATGTTTTGCTATAAACTAATTTACTTTTATGACCATTATACATTAAAAAGGTCACTGAGCTTTTGGTATATTTGGTCTTTCTAGAAAAAAATTTAAAAAACTCATAAAATAGAAAAAAGCCAATAAAATCTTTTTAAGTTTGTATAACTCCGAAAAAACTTACCTGAGACCCGAAAAATCGTTATGTTTGTATAGAGGTGTGCTTCTTTTGTGTATAAAACATTGAAATATGACGATATTTTAATTTTTGAAATTTTTATGATAGAAATCATAAACGTGATGGTCAGGGACAAGCGGTACGGTCGTGAATTGTCTGGAATAATCTAAATCTTTCCAAACAATCCTTCAATTATACTGTTAGTTATAATAAAACTATGTGTTTCAATTGAACTAAACTGTTCAATTTACAATTATATTAAAGTTATTGTCACGACCAAACTAACTATAATCCATAAGGCTGGATTGGTCGTGAAAAAAACCGCGATGGTCGTGAAACTTTGGTCGTGAAATTACGTGTTATTTGGCTCTGTTCTGGCGGTAGCCCTGCACCTCATGTTCGAGGATACAAAGTGGACTTCTAGGTTGATCTAGCAATTGAAATATCTTATAAACAAAAATTAACACCATGTCTACTTCATCGAATGACTACGGACGGTCATGGACACACCAAAATTACAAAAAACACAATCTTTCCTTTATTAATCTTGTAATTCCTCCTTTCAACTCAAAACGACCGGCACTACAATCCTGACGTACACCCCGAACTAGTCTCTAAAACCAACTGACTCCATCGACGCCAGGCTTGCCACTGTCGTGCTCCAAAGTTGAAAAATTTTCCCAAATGGTCGTGACGCCAAATCGAGGGACAGACTTATTTTGTCATGGTAGTCAGTCTGCAATGACAATAAAATTATAATATACTCCTTTTTTGTAAGTTTAATAACCATTGATAACATAAAAATATGACTTTATATATTTCGGCATGAATAATTAGTCTAAAAACAGCGTGAAAGTTGGAAAATGTACCCTAGGGACACGTCATGGTCGTGAATTTTGAGACTTTAAAAATACGAAAAAATACCTAGAACCTATTTAAAACTAAATAAATGTGTGTAACATGTTGCCCCCGTCCCAAAAAATATTAAAACACATAATAATAAACTACAAATCCAGTATCTACGAAGTAAAAGGCCAGGGACATGAAAACGTACGTTTTTAAATTTTCACTCAGGTACCTAATGTTAAAAATACCTCAGCTGTACTTATTTGTTTATTTCAGCTTGGCTTAACTTAACCAATCAATAGTTTTATTAATACTTATGAAGTCTATGGGTTACAGCTAGTTTATAGTAATAATTGATTTATAAAAACATTTAACGATACTTTTTGTTGCAGATAAATACTGATAAATGCTGTAAACTAAGTAATTCCATCTAAAGGTCCTAATAAAATTATTGGTTTAGGCCTAGGTGATTAACAGAGTTAATTTAGAAAGTACGCATATTATTGTTTGGTTTTTTCGATATTTTAGGTTAGGTCTACTTTTGATTTAATACAATCATATGTTTAGTAAAATGTAAAATAAATACATTATTAAATACAAAAGTTTTACATATTCCTTGAACAACCGATTTGTTACTATTTTAAAAACTCCTAATCAAACCATACATTAATTATTTATGATAAGTTTTCTTTTGTTTTTAAATAAACTGAATATTAGTATAATGCTTTTGGCCATTTTTAATTTTGAATTCAGTATTGGTATTCCTTCTTTGAAATTTTGAAAGTGGTAGCGGAGAGGGTAGTGGAAGGGAGGAGGGGGCGCGAAAAACGTCAGCCTACTAACTGGCGACTAGACCCTTAATCAGGCCCTGACGACATGTTTCGCCTATTCAGGCATCGTCAGGTAATTTCCTATCAAGAATACTTCATCCAATAATAGTTACATAATTGCATTCAAATAAATACACAAAGGACATAACGCACAACAAATTTTTATATTTTGCAGGCTGTGTAATTGTGTGACTCTGTATCCGTACCAACTAGATAGGAGACCAAAATAATACACTCTGTTGACGTAAAGGTATGTACCTAATTGTCTTTGATAAGTTCAGGGGCTACATTATGAATTTTAAGTAGAAATAAGGGGAAAAAATGTTAAAATCATAATAAAACCTTAAAATCTTTTCAATAATGTTTAATTGAACAAACTGAAATAACACTTTTTAAATGTTTAAGAATTTAATTGGAAGAGTTTGATTTCATAGTTTTGAGTACAATCAGTACAATAGAATTGGGATCATTGATTTCCCTTGCCATTCTTCTATTTGTTGTGTTTCTCATATTCTTCACATTGTTCTTCATTTATTGACATTTTTCATTTTTCCCAATATCTCTCCTTCACTTGTATCATGTTCGTTCAGAGTGTAGGAGTTTTGCCAACGGGTATCAGGTAGAAAGGGTCCCCATCCATGAATTCCACATACTGCGGAGTTTTGCCAACGGTTGTGGGTTGCGCGAGAGGTTGACGGGGAGAGAGAGAGAGATTACACGTGACCGTGAGGGTGGCTTCCGCTAAGGGTGGACAAACCAGGCAGGATGCTGACTGTGTTCAAAGTAATGGAGTTATGCACCTCTGACTGTGAAAGGAAATGTATTGAATTTTTAACCTTACCTAACCTAAACTAAACTAACCTAACCTAACCTAACCTAACCCACTGCGACAAGCGCATAACTAACTGCCAAGCGTAGACAACCCTGACAATCGCTCTCCCTCCCTCCGTCACACTCTTTCTCCCACCACCACCGTTGACAAATCTCCGCACCAAGAGGTGGCCGAAGGCATCCCCCCCATCTACCTGACACCCGTTGGCAAAACTCCGGTTCCCGTTCGTTCAAGTTTCTTAAATAGCAATTAATTTCTTAAATTCAATTTTCTTCAGTGTAGGCCTAAATATTTCAGATCCATCTTTTCCGTTTGTTACAGACAAGAATTCCTTCACTAACTTCCCTCCGTATTGTTTGTCATGAAACAGAAAAAAATTAGGTTGTAAAATGATTTTCTTGTAACATTTCTTTGTTATTTAAAAAATAAGATAATAAGATTTGATTGGTACCAAAGTTTTAAGTCAAATAAATTAGTGTGATTTATTTAACATTAGAATGATCTTCAATTTACATTTTGATTCTTTTTGTCATTAATTTCAGTTAGTGAAAATACACTTGTGCTATATTTGTTGTCAAATAAGTCACTTACAACAACTTTTTCTTCCTTGTTGTTATACTATGTGTTAAACTATGGGTCCGTTGGCACGATAACTCAAACAAAAATTATCCGATTTTGATGAAATTTGGTATAAACGTGTAAACCTACATTTATTCTAACGAGATCGCGAACCAGTTTGATCGGACCATGGGAACGGGGGTTTATGGGGGGTTTTATGAGGTAAAAATGGGTTTTTCCCATTTTTGACCCTAAAAACATAAAGTTTTGGAGTTTCTTTCCCAACCATTTTGTAGAGCTTAAAAAAAGAAATAATTTAGTATATTGAAGCATTGTTGTATGCATAATAGTTACGGAGAAAATTAAAAAAAGTGCAAATTTAAAATTCCTATGTTATTCTTATGGAGAAAATGAAAACTGTTGTAGTTTACTTATTTATGGATATTTGTTGATCAAATTTGGCAAATTTATTTAATTCATCCTATACCATTGACGTTTGGTCAAAAAAACACTGTTTACCTTCCCTGTAGTAGCAAACCTAAGCACTAGTTAAATCTAATGTTTTTAAAATTGGGAATAAATATGTCTTATTTATGGAAATATTTTACTAAATATGTAATCAGACAAGTTGAAATACGCTTAGTCTGCAGGTTTGCTGCGGCGGGGGTGTTTACATTTCCACCACAGTATTGCTGCACAACATTATTAAAATCATTGGCTTTAGATTGTTGTACATTCTCTATGTCATGCTATTTATTTTTCATCTAGATGCACCAGCTGTTAATAAAATTGCTGTTTGACAAGAGCACACTCTAAAGAGTGTTTTTTGAATCGACTGAAATTTTGCACAATTCAGTATATATTTGAAGAGCAACCAGCATTGGATCTTATTTTGGCAGCATTTTAGACGTTTTGTAGAAATATTACTTTGCAAGTAATATCCTCAATCAGTTAAAAATGTTACAAAATTAGTTTGCCAACAATAGTAAAAATCTCTGACTCATATACAAATGAATTTATTTACAATCTGAAAATTAAGTTCTTAGATCTCACAATTGAACACTAACCCTCATCAATACATATATCTGTTTTTAGATTTAGCTGTTATCCTTGTATGCTTATCGCAAAAACCCTATTCTCTGCAACTCTCAGCTTCCTTTAGGAAAGCAAGAGGGTAATAATATATCTTACTTAGATTATAGGGTACACTAGAATATCATTAACTATGGAATACTAGCAAATACCTCTGCCGCAGCCAACCTGCAGACTAAGCGAATTTCCATTTGCCCAATTGGATTTTCAATTAAATATATAAATAACATTATGTTTAACAAGTACCTAGGTTTGCTGCTACAGGGAGGGTAATAAAGTGGGCTTTTTAGTAGAATATCAATAGCTTAGTATAAAATAAGGTAATTTGCTAAGTTTTATCAAAATATATCCGTAAACAAGCCAAATAAAACAGTTTACTCATTCTCCATAAGAACAGCATGGTAATTTTAAATTTAAATTTTTTTGAATTTTTTCTGTGACAAATAACCGTAAAAACCCATTTAATATACTAAATTAATTGTTTTTTAAGCTCTAAAAAATGGCACTAAGAGAAATTGTGAATTTTTTTGTTTCCAGGGTCAAATATGAGAAAACTCAATTTTTACCCCGTAAAACCCCGTTCCCATAGTCCAATCATGCTGGTTTGCGAACTCATTCAAGTTTATCCCGCCCTACACCTTCAAGCCAAATTTCATCATAAACTGACAAAAATTACTCAAGTTATCGCGTTCACGGACACACACACACACATATAATTTGAAAGAATAGTGTTTTTGTCCTCTGTGGACATCAAAATTAAAAAGTAAATCGGTCCCGGGCCCAGGTCTTACCATGAGATCTACGATGATACTTTCCTATAGGGAAATTAGCTAAAACAACAAAAGACCTTTAAAACTATTATATATATAAATATTTCTCTCTCTTAAAAGTAAAGAAAGTTATGTACTCATAGACTTCCCAACTGAAAGATTCACCTCACAAAATGATTCCGATTCTACATAAAATATTATAACTCTTAGGGAAGTTAATTAGATTTTAAAACACCATCTTTTTGAACTCAACTAATTGCTAATCCATTTGCCAATTGTCTGCAACTCTCAAGCTTCCTTTAAGAAAGCAAGTAACTATTACTAATATTATGTACTATGGATTTTAACACCAGCGAAAACTTAATACTACCACACATCAAGATTTTTAAACTACTTATTAGAAACCTACTAATATTTTACTCACACTTTTCATCCTTATGTTCTCTTCTGCACCAGCATAAACAATGAATATGTAATAAATTGTTTCCATGGTTTTAACATATTTTAAAAAGAAAATAAAAACTGAATTCAATTTTACTTGTTAGACTACTCGAGTTTAACCCTCCCGTACCCTTGCTCTCTTGCTAGAAATGCTCTTTTATATACCTAATAAAGTTCATGTAGCATAAAAATTTCAAATAATCCAAATATAGGTAAATAGATATAGAAAAATTTAAAAATAATTACAAATATTTCAAATTGAATATGTCGTGTTGAAAACCAATCAGTCAATCGCTGGCCTGTTCTTCATCCTCTTGAAACATGACGCGCCTAACTTTACACCCTCGTATGAGACAGTCAAAACACAGCAATTGCCCTTTGAAAGGTAGTGGGGGAAGGTAAATGGCACATCTAAACATTCGCTCGCAGATTCACTTATTTCGGTGTGCTTTTTCAAATCCGCTGACTCTGAGTCCGCGGAGGTTAAAGAAAATCTCCGTCTACTGGAGGTTGAGTGGTGATGGACTTGAATAGTGGTTTACCACTAAGACCACAGAAAGTGATTCTTACTTGGCGGGAGAGGCAATTTTTTTCATGATGTTTGTGAATTAACGTACATGTATACTCAATGTAATGAAGTTAATCGTCCTTAGGGGTAGGAAACCACTGGAATACTAATTTTTTTTTCGGCCAAAATTTGCCGGATTTTCTAGGTATAAACAGTGATGAAATAAGGAATTTGATGTTGACCTCAGATTTGAACTAGATGTGTCAGAAGCTTGACGGAGAGTTTAATTTACGAACAAACCTCCTATTAAAGTAGTGTTTGAGGGGCGGACACAATCACTCCCCCCTTATTCACAATCCATTCCAGAGATTTTTACAGACTTAAAAGATAAAATTAGAACCCAAACTTATGTTCACCTGTCCTGATTCCATGTTCCGAAAGAATGTTTGGTAAACTCTTGGAGTTTTTCAATGAGTCAAAGTTGTGTACTCCGTTGTGCAGTCCGTACATGCCATTCTGATGTGAGGGTAGTCCAGTCAATAAGGCTGACCTGCTGTTAGAAAAACTATGTTTACTTGAAATATTCCTGTGCGACACTGACAACAGAGTTGTAAGCCAAGAGTATACAAGACAATTGGAAAAACTTATTATTTAGTGCTGGTACCTCAAAGAGTTTTTAATGGGATGTTTTGGACATTGTACCAACAAAAGACTTCTAAACTTGGTAATTAAAATTATTGTGTACAAATTATTAGTGTTGTGATTTTGTGAATTTGGCAAGAAAATTTCAATGCTTGTGAAAGACTTGCATGTCATTCTTAATTCCACAGCCATATCTGAAAATCGGTGATTAAGGAAAACCCGCATTTAGGTAGTTTTTATCGTTTAGATAGGTAGTTGTTTGAATCTTACTAATCTTACTAATATTATATATGTGAAAGTTTGTGTGTTTGTTTGTTTGTTTGAAGTTCAGTCACGCATAAACTACTGGACGGATTGGGCTGAAATTTGGCATAATGATAGCTATTCCCGACTAACAATAACATATAGGCATATTCTTATCTCAAAATCCTTTCGGGCTCCGTCCCAGTAGCTCTGCAATTCTCCATGTTAACCTTATGAGTATAACCTTTAGTCAGCTGTTTCAACTAAAAAGTTGGTTCTATGATATGCAAAAGCATTAAAAAGTTATAAAATTTACCAACAGGTGCAGCACTTTTTTTTGCATTTATGAAAACAGCTAGGCCTAATTTGAACCAAGCAGCAACAAAAAAACTTATACGCAATGAAAACTGTTAAAGTAGGATTGTATACAGTTATGTTTATGTTTTTAATTCCATGAATAATTTGTGATGTTTTGCGAATTTTTAATAAATTATTTTTCTCTATTGTTTAGGTAAAGTGGTAGAACATTATAGCTATGGTATGTGTGTAATACCGTAAATTTAAAGAAGCAAATTTTCTCAAACTGTGTCCTCCCCCATTGCAAACGCAAAGCTTGAGTATAACTGCAATAAGTAGTTTATACTTATATGCCAACCCCGCACGAAGGACGGGTACTCTGCTAGTATTTTATACTTCTTAATATTTAACCTTTACTAATTAATTTGCATAGGCCTAAAATTAATCCCCATTCTTATAACATTAAATAAGATGGATCATAGGTTATTTAAAATTTAGGCCTGATCATCCGGATCGTCAAAAGGATTGATTTTCTTCCACCTAATTAGCTGCATTTTTTACTATGCAGATCGATAATAATGAGATTTACGATGCAGTCGTAATTGATTTGGACAATTGTAAACCTACACTGTAGTGGCAAATACCCCAAGCTGGCAAAGCTTCCGTGTTTTTTACAATAATAGTTTCTAACGTTATTAATTAAATGCAATTATATTTATCACCAAAAGTTAACTATTGGACATCAAATGTAGGCTACCAGTACCTAGGAGAGCAGCTGCTTACAGATGTGTAAGAATTGTTGAAGATGAGGCTTCTTATCGCCAATGCATCCAGATTGGGGGTTCGTATAACGTGGTTCTGATATGTTTTCATTTCAAAACCCCCGTCATCGGCTGGAATAGATATTTTTGCATTTTAACTTCAGACTCAGAGACAATTAACGCAAATAGTCAATAACAATAAGGAAGTAAAACATTCCGGGATAGTAACGGGAAAACGCTGCAAAACGTTATTGATAGCTTTTAAACTATGATAGCATTGGTCGCTGTAATGCCTATATTCATTAAATACTTACTCTATTTTTAATTCAACTTCTTATAGAACAAAATATTCTATTTTTGATAGTATGAAAACATTTTTGTTCAACAGTAATCATTCTTTACAACCCACCATTTTAATAATGGCTGAAATAATTTTTTTGGTTAACGAGCCAATCAAAAGCCCCAAATGAAAGTGAATAAGCTACCATTTCTGTTTACATTTTTGTTGATACTGTACATGAATTTTCCACCAAGCGAAAAAAAACTGTCATCGGTCTACGGTCTACCTTTCCAACACTAGTTTCTGACTGGAACAGGTATAGGTACCAAGATTTTGCTAAATGTCTTATATAACTTCCTCCATAATACAAAGAGAATACTTAATCTATGCTTTTAACATCCACTTAACAAAATCGTTGGACTGAGTATCTAACTATGAATAAAATTGCAATTCTAAATGCATTATTTACCTAAAATTATGAGAACATTCCTAGCATCCTCAGAACAGCGGCACCATCCTAATAGAGTGATGCAAATAAGTAACAATCTGTTAAGCGAAATAAGCTTCTTCGGTTTCGGCATTTTGGAAATTTCCTTTGATAAATAATCCACCACACCGTGATTCACCTCACTGCAAACACATTTAATTACCTAGCAACAATCATTTTAAATTATGAAATATTTACTCATTCATAACATCAAAGTTGTTAAAGTTGTGTTATTCAGTTGACAGCTCTTACAGAAAAGATAAAATAGAGATTATGCTATGCATTATCTCTCCAAGTGCAAACCTGCAGCAGTGATCAGCAATAACCCTTGTACCTTTTCTCATACCCCCATTGCAGCAACTTAAGCTACCTGATTTCCTGTTGCTTTATTAAATTTTATGCTTTAGGAAATTGTATACCCAAACCTAAAATAAGATTGTGCTCAATAAGTACCCAACTTTGCTGCTTCGAGGAACTCACAAATGTTTTACAAGTATGGGATTATTTTTTAAAAAGTGCATAAAAAATAAAGAATTATGTTTTAAACTATGAACTTTCAAGTGATTATTTTTTTGTCCTAAGGCGCAAGGCACGAGCCTGGGATTGTTTTTTATTACTTCAGGCTAGACCTCAGAGGGGTTGCGGCATTCACACTTAAACATAAAATCCATTGGTGATTCGGCGGGATTTGAACCCTAGACCTCAGGGACTTAAGTCCCGCGTTGTTACCTTGACCAACTCGCTCCCCTTCTAGTGATTATTAGATGTAGTATGAGTGTAGTGTTCTTCGTTTTATTTTAGGTCGTTTCTATTCAGACCTACTGGAAATTGTGTATAGTAATTGTATTTTGCTGATAATAATTATGGAAGAGGCAGATATGCTATGGAAGGTGGTATCGTTGACTAGGCCTATACACTTCTCAATTGATAATTACTCTTTCTACTGTAGGCTGCAATAAAATTTGTCTTTATACGTGTAAACTAGCTGTTCTGAATTATAGGCCTACACAGTTTTAACTGACTACTCCCGTACGTAGGACGGGCTAACACCTCGTTTTTTTATTAAAACAAAAAGTACAAATGACTATATCTTGTCCCAAACCAAAAGTTACTACAGTAGACTCCCTCTTATCCGGACACCTTTTAACCGGACTAAACTTGGCGGAAATGACATCTTTTTAACCGGACAATTTTTATCAGCACATTGGTTTCACTGGACTAGATCAGAAGGAAGTGGGCGGTACTGAAATGACTGTTCTCGTGGGAAAGATTCGGGACCAGTGATCACGTGTCTAAATACAATACTCTCCCAAATTTAAGTCAAATACCACAGTAAATGGTCCGTTTGAATGAGTTTTTGGGGACATTGATTTAACCGGAAAAACTGTTACCTGGACTGGCCTCGGTCCCAAGTAGTCCGGATAAGAGCGAGTCTACTATAATAGCCCTAATTAGAAAAGAATTTAAACCGCTCATTTTTGGAGTAGTACTAAGGACGTACCATTGAAGGTCCACTAATGCAAGCAGTTTCTATCCATTATTAACTACACCAGAGAGAAAGTTATAACTATTACTTACCCTCCCTTTAAAGGGTATTTACTCAGGGGAGGTATAGAAGAGGCTACGATGACAGCTGTGGGCTTCTTATTAGCTGAGGGAACGCCATTACCATAACAAAACGGTCGGTAGCCGTCGGCCTCGGTGGTCTAATGGTTAGCGTACCGGGCTGATATACTGTAGGTCCCGGGTTCAAATCCTGTTGGTAGCATTAACTTTTTATCCAAGATTTTTTTATTATCAGCAAGTTTGGTTGGTTTGGTTCGGTTATTACAGTTTAATTTTATTATTAAGTGATTATAAAATTTTAATTGAGCAAATTCTAGTTTTATTTAATAAACAGAATTATTTTTCCGATTACTAAACTTTTGTTATATTATTTCTTTATCAGCAAGTTTGGTTAGTTCGGTTAGGTTATGATAGTTTAATTTTATAATTAAAAAATTATAAAATTGAATTTGAGACATTTATAATTTTATTTTATGAACAGAACTATTTTTGCGATTAGTAAACCTTCATTGCCAAAGTGCTCTCTACTACAGCGCTGTTCACGGAGGAATTTTGAACTAAATGCCTCATTCGTACCTCCCCTAAGTCAGACCCCCTTTAAAGTAAGAAGATAGAATATCAATAAGATATTAAAAATAAAGTTCAAGTATCAAAAATCCAGGGAGGATAAGGAAAGATTATAAAAAGAAAATATTCAGATTATTACAAATTTGAATTCATCTATTGATTAATATATACATTTGCTAATATATTTTTTATCTTATTGAGATCAATAAAAAATATTGCTCTATTCACAACACTTTATGACTTTAGTGTACTCAAACTAAGTCCATGGAAGGAAATTACTAAATATAACGGTGCCTATAATAAAATATGAACAAAAATACATTCTAATACAATGAGACCAAATATTAATCGGTTTATCTGTTAAAATAACAGTTCTCCAAACACTAGCTATGTTTTCTTTTGTCTCTACTAAGCTATAATTGTTGGAGCCACTTGTCTTCAGTCTACTGGAAATCACATCACTTTTAGTGTCACTTTCAGTCTTGTAATGTAAAGCCACAAACCAGTAAAGCACTGGGCAAGAAGAGGCAATCATCCTCGTTGTTACTTGAACATGGACAAAAAACAAGCAGAATATTGTCAAAAACACTGAGTGGACGACAAAAACAAAGAATTCAAGTGTCAACTCTTGTCGTTGATAATTAACACGGTACTTTGATTTTTTTAAACCTAAAGAAAACAGAATAGAGGTGTTTTCAAGCATGAAAAGATATGAGTTCCTCAATATTAAAAATATTACAGGCGATGCTAGTAAAAAATTTGGAATTTGCTTAATTTGATAGTATTTAAGAAAACCGACATGCCAATAATGGTTTTGTACGTAGGAGTACGAGAAAGGTATTTTGTGGTTACACCATGGTGGCAAATCAGAAGATGGAGTCACAAATCCTTTTGATTTTCCAAACTCATTCAAAAATTCTGGTATATTTACTTTGCTCTTGCAAAAAGTCATGTAAGCATATCCTTGGAACATAATAAATGGGGCAATAAATACTATGGTGCAAATGCATAATTTACATAGTTCAACGATCATAGTATAGAATGAAGAAAAGCTAAATTGATATTTAAGTACTTGTAAAATATTAAAGACACGTTTTAGACATTTATGAGCAATATATCCTAAATTCAATACACCGTTAGAACGAGTACAGCTTGACAAACCCAACGCAAAACTAGACAACAACTCTCTTTCATTTTCTACACAAAACAGCATACCCGAGAAAGTGAAAAAGGCAAAACAACTTTCTGAATACGGAGCAGTGAAAAATATACTGGCTGGGTTCACACAGAAAAATAATGCAGATTTATACGCGAGCGACTCATCTTTTAGTACTTTACACGAAAGTTCGAAGAGCTTGATTGATGCACTCACAAAGAAATAAAAGTTAATTGCCAAAGCAGACAGTAATACTGTTGAGTAGTGATTCAATACACCATTTAAAATGACATCTAAAACATGGGCGAGACTTCTAGCAAAGAACGGAAACATTGGGAAAAATGCAAGTGTATTTTCATAGGTGTAGCCGTAGTGTGCAATGTGAAGAAAGTACTGAGCATCCCATCTCACTAAGCCTCCAAATACGTTGTTAATGATTTCATCGGCCAATGATATGTTGATAGTAGTTGGCTGTGGGAAGATGTAGACTCCAGCATCATGGTCTGGTAAAACTAAGTTAGAAATCCATGATAGGAAAATAATAAAAACACGAGAGCTGATAGCGAAAAGTAGCACTTTTGTCTTCAAGTCATTGTGAGTTGTAGCTGTCTTCATCTTGTTTAAGCTTAGTTAGGGCCTAAGTCAATCACTGACCTGCAAAAATAATAATTTTGATTACAATAAAATTAGTATAAGTTAAAATTGATTGTCTTGTATACTGTAGGCATGTTTTCCTTTCCATACGATTTTTTTATCAAGACATGAGTTGAACTGACTTAGATCTGATTAGTCTTTTGACTTGCAAGTAGGACAACACACAAGTTTTCTCTTAGGAAGCCAGGATATTTTACAGGTTCAGTTAAATGTCACACTTGATTTTGCAGGATGATTAGGCTACATGTGCTCATCGTATCTGATAAGTCTTGGATATCAGTAAAATTGCCTACAACAAAATGAAGATGTGAGTGAAGCTTGTAAAATATCTAAAGCCCCATTTCCATGAGGAGTAGGAAGAAGGCATGAACCACACATTCGTGAAATAGGCTCCGTGGGAACGACACATACATTTGCCTCTGACGTAATCAGGGATGGGGAGAGTTCACGAACTGCCACGCTAGGGATTAAATTAATTTTCAGTTGTAAACAGCTTGTATATTTGCCTTCCTGGTGGTTTTTTTGTAGTACTTGTGTAGTGGTGTGCTAAAAACTTATGTCCTAGCCATCGGGAACAAGTGTAGTGAAATTGCAAGACAATAAACTATGAAGTTTCTAAGGTTGTACGCTGTGGAACAGTCACTGTACAATACAAAGGAAAGAATACAAAGATGGAGATTTAAGGAATGCAGCAGCAAACAGGATTTGAATCAATGGCTATTCCCGGGATTTGGACTGAAAGAAGTTTTGTAAATTAAAAAACTTAAGTTACAAAGTTCTTATTGTCTGCTAAGACTTTGGGGAATTTTATCCCAAACGCATTTTCTTCTGTTTTATAATCGGTTCACGAGAGTAGCCTACGTGACTGTCTCAACTTGTCAACTTAACTTAAATGTGAACGTGACTAAAAGCTGAACTTATAACTTCACTACCTACTCTCAACAATAACTTGTACTCTGCCATTGCTTTCTGAGGTAAACTAAATTCAAAATAGACTAGGCCTAGGCCTAACTTATGAAGTGTGGGTCATAGGAACAGTCCACACCTTGTGACAGGTGGTAATCCCATCCTCACCACAAGCGTGCATGACACTACACTACATTTTATTTTATGAAATGTGAAATAAGATAAGTACCTTGTCAGACATAATATCCCGAAAAGAAGTCAACATAGGCTATTTTAATTGGGCCTAGGTAGGATAGCCTGCTGCTTCAGGTAACAGATGACAGCGTAGGTTTGAAAGGAATAATTACCACAATTCACATTTGCTATCAAAGTAACATTTTTGAAGAACAAATAATCATACTAAGTTAAACAAGTTATAAAACAAATAAAAAATCTAAAGAGTTAACAAACAGTATACAATTGTAAGAAAGCAGTAGCAGACAAATTTGTATACACTAGCAAAAACAAACAGTAAACAAACTTAGAGAATATTTGTTCTTCTTCTCTCCCACAGCCTAAAAGAGTTTTAGAACAGACTACGGAAACCAAATTACAGTATTCTCTCTATTATCTAAGGGAGTATGTTTTATCTATGGTATTATATTGTCTGTGGTTTGAGGTTTTGATTAAAGATTACATAAGATAACATGGCAGACAGGTGACATCAGCTCATTATTTTGCACTTTATTGATTTAAATTTAAATTGAAAATAAAACATACAGAATTGAATACCGAAACAATATGAATTAAAATCTAAATCTGTATATTTGCGGAGTTAATATTGTAATAGTCCAGTAACCAATCTTTCGTAAATACACAAATACCATAAGCTGCTTCCAAACAAAACAGCTGTTACAACACCACTTGCGACGTTGCCAGTTCGAAGGCCGCGGCCTGTAGTTAAAGGTGGCCGTGATTTCTGCTTTAAATAATGCAAGTTTATATTGACATATTAATGTTCGAAATTTAACATGGTCATGCAATGTTTGCCACTAACGAAAGACACCATAAGTAAAAAATGGGCCAAACGAGATATGTTTTATTTCAGGAGCTACTTGGTTAAAAATAGCCTGCCAACAAATTGCTCAAAATGTATGCAACAGATGAGATGCACTGAGCTTCAGTGATGAGCAGTTCACCACGCTCACGCTGTCTGCTCCCTATGTCCTAGTCCTGCTGTCACTGCTGTCAGACAAAAGAAAACGTTGCTTTAGATAGGTTATGTTGAGTCAAGATGTATTGAGTAACTAACTCATAACCTCCATTTCTCGTTTTGCATTTTTATTTTATAATAAATAATTTACTTTCAAAACCAAAAGTTGAATTAGTGTATTGTAGTAAGCTATTAACAGCTTACATTTAAGTGACGATGTGTAGCAATACAGAAATAGAAGATGGGGCCATGCTGATGGAAGCTTTGGATAAATTTGATTTGTAAGTGTATCTTTTTCAAGTTTCATAGGCCTACTTGACTAGCTCTTATTTGTATCCAGACAAATTTTCATTTTAACATCTAATTGTAAGGATTGATTTGTATTCGTAAATTGGATAAAAAAAAACAAACCAAAGTCTGTCAGTTGATAACAGTTAACTAAACATAAACAAGGACAAATCTTTTGGTTCTGATATTAGGGAAAGGTAAGGTGTACTTAGATAGGCCTTAACACGTTCGCTACTGCAATAGTACGAAATTTTCCATTCACATGGACCAGCGACGCACATATGCGACGGCCGGTTTCCACCCATAGACTGCCGTCGCATGCGACGGCTAGTCACATTAAAATAGACTACCGACGCATATTTTCGTCGGGGTTCTAATGTTATTAAAATGCTTATATCTTTGTAGTGGTCTATTTGAAGGCACTGAATTCCCTGCAGTGGTCTACAGAGATGTCTGCACACAACTTGTCTGTGGATATGATGATTGGTGACGTCATATAATAGTTGGAAAAACTGGTCTTTACTTTTCTGCATCACTGTATGTATGTATGCAGTATGTATGCTGCATTATCCTATGTAGCTTTTATATTTGTTCAGTTATAAACTGTTCTTGAATAATCTGTTTATTTTTTTACTTACTTCCACCTTAAAACACAAAAAAATGAACTGTCGCATATATGCTATAATAATTCAAGAAAACTATGATAATTTTCACTATTGTCTTTGCTGTAGACCGGGCGTCGCAAATATGCGACATTACAAAAGGTTATAAAAAATACAAAAAACCAAGAATAATTGATTTACAAACACGATTGTAGCGTATTACAATGTAAATGATCACTGTTTTACAGGTTTTCGCCCGTGGTCTGTGTGTACTGTTATCCAAGTGACAGCCGGTCTATGTGTAAGATTCAAATGTATACCTCGGTCTGTGGCAATGACCGCGGCGTCGCATATATGCGTTCGCAGTAGCGAACGTGTTAAAATATTAAATGAAAATATTAAAATATCGGCCAGTAACATGGTAGAGCAATAACACCCAGCGAGAATTTCGATACATCAAAAAGAAATCTTGGACAATAATGAATTTTCCCTTAACAGGAAAGTACCTTTATTTATATCTATTTACCTACTAACTTAGCTGTATGCCCGTTCTACGTGCGGGAATCTTGTATTAAGTTGAATCTTTCTTATATTCAGAACAATATGTTGGTTTGCATATTTAGTGTGCATTTTTCAGATATGCTGGAACTATTACTGAACTATTACAAAACTATTACTGTATAGGAATACATATAAACCTTCGCAAATATAGGGTGATTACTGAGAAACGCATGTTTTTTAAATAACTTAGTATTCAGGCAATTCAAAGCAAAAAATATATTTATGAGTGGAAAAACAGTGTACACAATATGCAATTTAAGAATAAAATTACTTACAATTTAGTGTTTAAAAATTACATATATAAGGTAATCATTCGCCTTCTGCTTTGATACAGTGTTGAAGGTGTTCCTTAAAACGTGCTACGGATTTTGCTAACATCTCTCTATGAATGGCGTTGATTTCCTGGCGAATAGCTTCTTTAAGTTCCTGTATTGTTTGTGGTTTGCTTATGTAAACTCTAGATAGAAAAACCAATGAAAGAAATCGGGAATTGCAGGATCCGGTGAGCGAGAAGGCCAAGTGACATCACCAAAACGTGTGATAACTCTTGTAGGGAATGTTCGAAGAAGGAATTCCATACCAAGCAGAAGGCGACCATCTTAGAGATGTAATTTTTAAACACTAGGCCTAAATTTTAAGTAATTTTATTTTAAAATTGCATGTTGTGTACAGTGTTTTTACACTCGTAAATATTAACTTTTTCTCTGAATTGCCTGATTACTCGATATTTGAAAAACATGCGTTTCTCGGTAATCACCCTATACAATATCTAACAGTTTCAAGCCAAAACGATAAATTGTTTCATATTATTTATTTATTGTTGTTGTTTTAAATTATTTATTTATTAGTATAACTTACCTTTTGTTATTTTGTTTTGTTCGGCTAGGTTTGTCATTGTTATTGTTGTTTGTAATTAGATCATTATTATATTGTTGATTTTATTTCTAGTCTATAAGCACAAAATTTGTTATTATATGGCAGAATGGACAGACAGAATGGCAGAATGGACAGACAGACAAACAGACAGACGGAAATTGAGATAAGACTCGTTTCGGCTTTCTTAGGCTATGAAACGTAAAATAACCAAAAACTGCACGATTCTAAGCAATGTACAGACGAAACTGTAATTTTATTTATATAGATATTTGGATTAAAATTCATTGTTGTAGCCCCGGAACTGTAATATATAAAATATCTGGTTTTACAATACCTTTATCAGTTCCAAAAGTAACTTTCGTCAACGTGTGTTACATGTTTCGGCGAGCTGCCATTGTCAAACACTTCAATACAGGAAGATGTAGATCCGCTTGAATAGCTTCGTTACAACACATTACACGACACGACATTTTTACAAGACACGTACGACATAAAAACAAAAATAAATACTTGTAATTTGATAGGCCTATCATGAATATGCAACATTGCCGGTACACGAGCGGGAACAGACTGTCGGTGGAGGGTTCAAGTCAGCGCTATCTGGTTGAATTATCTTCGTTATCTGTTGTGGTCAGCTGATCAGATTTGTTTCCTTGTTGCAGTAGCGTGTTAAAAATTATATTTGACTTAAACTGGAGTTTGTCATTCAGGATATGGTTGTTGGAATCCAGATTTTTTATTGATTTGTATATTTCAAACTCCTCCAAGACGTCCATTTTATTTCCCTTTTGACAGTAATGTAGTATTTGCAGACCGGTGTTAATGTCATTCATATCGTGATTACAGTCAATAAGGTGTTGGGCAAATGTTGATTTTTGTGTATCTGTTCTCGGGTCTGTGCAAACGGGTCGAGCATTTAAAACCCGCTATAAAGAACACCGCCCAGACCCGAGAACAGATACACAAAAATCAACATTTGCCCAACACCTTATTGACTGTAATCACGATATGAATGACATTAACACCGGTCTGCAAATACTACATTACTGTCAAAAGGGAAATAAAATGGACGTCTTGAAGGAGTTTGAAATATACAAATCAATAAAAAATCTGGATTCCAACAACCATATCCTGAATGACAAACTCCAGTTTAAGTCAAATATAATTTTTAACACGCTACTGCAACAAGGAAACAAATCTGATCAGCTGACCACAACAGATAACGAAGATAATTCAACCAGATAGCGCTGACTTGAACCCTCCACCGACAGTCTGTTCCCGCTCGTGTACCGGCAATGTTGCATATTCATGATAGGCCTATCAAATTACAAGTATTTATTTTTGTTTTTATGTCGTACGTGTCTTGTAAAAATGTCGTGTCGTGTAATGTGTTGTAACGAAGCTATTCAAGCGGATCTACATCTTCCTGTATTGAAGTGTTTGACAATGGCAGCTCGCCGAAACATGTAACACACGTTGACGAAAGTTACTTTTGGAACTGATAAAGGTATTGTAAAACCAGATATTTTAGATATTTGGATTATTTGAAATTTTGATGCTATATGAACTTTATTAGGTGATATGAGTGTTTCAAGTAAGAAGTACAGTAAGACGCGGACTGTCAGTCTGCCCGCGTATACTGGTTTTACAAGGGCTGTTAGCTGTGTGTATACTGGAGAGTTACTTCAGTTATTAAATAAAATTGTCCAGGCTATAGAATGGTACTTTCTAATCAGCCATGTTTTGAGGGCAGTGTTAAATCTCCTTGTTTCAAGGTTAATTATGTCTTGTTTTGCAGAACTGGCTCTCTTTGCAAGAAGTGCGGGAATGAAAACAAACCACAAATCGTTTTAAGAAAGAAGGATGCTTATTGCAAATCATGTTTCTTGACCTCTGTCAAACATAAATTTCGAGCATGCCTTGGAAAATCAAAGAAGATGAAACCTGGTGATAAAGTTCTTGTTGCTTTCTCGGGTAGCAGCAATTCAGTTGCAATGCTTCATCTCATTCAGTCAGGGTTACAAGAAACCTCTCACAAGAGATTAATGTTTCACCCTACAATAGTGTACATTGATGGTGAGTAAAAAATATTTTTTTTTTGTTAAATAGTATAGTCTAAAATGTAAGCAAGAGGGTTTTTTCCATGTCTACACCATGCCCTTGGCATTTTTTAGAGGATATGAAAGAGAGTGATGTTCAAACGGTTTTTAGGAAAGCGGTCCAAACCCACATGCTTTGTGGGCGAGCCGGAAAACAAACCCGTTCCTCTCATATCCAAGTCCGAGACGCTAACCACTAGGCTAGCAACACATTTTTTTTACAGTTGATGTAAAATAACGATATCGTTGATGTTGATAAACAATATTATTCATCATAGCCTACTACGCCACATTTTTAAGCTAATTTACTCAAAATCAATATACAGTACATGAAACCAGTTATTGATTTATTTAGTGATTTCAAATACAACTTTTACCTTACAGAATACTCTGCATTGAATTTGTCAGAGGAAGAAAGCAAAACAATCAAAGAAGATATTCAACGGACCTGGGGACTGTACGAGTATCCAAAACACATAGTGCCATTGCATTTATCCATAGAAGAAGAAGAGACTGTTAATGCGTTTCTCACAAAAGGCACCTCAACTGATAAAACTAAGTTCATAAATATGTTCACAAGCTTGCCAGAAAACACTTCAAAAATTGATATGCTCAATAAACTGAGGTAATTTAATCGTATTCCGTAATAACAGAAAATTGACTGTATTAAATTAGTTAGGCCTAATGCATTAACTATCCGAACTCATTTTAGTGTATTTAAGAAAGTTAGGTTAAGGTTTTTTTAACATAAAGTGTTTTTAAAGCTAGTAAATAAGAAAAAAGGAACTGTGTATATTTGATGTAAACTATAGTGGAGTATGAACTTTAAGTGGCAAGGTGGATTAAACATGAAGTTGTTTCAACAAAACCTTAGAAATTTAGATTTAAAGGATTGCTGGGCTGCAACTGGAGCACGATTGTTGTTTTTATTAAATAATAGCAAAACTATACTTTGTTCGCAAAATTTAGGCGGTTTTAGGGTAAGGAATCTATTCCCTCCACTTGATCATCCTACAATTAAATTATAGCTCAACAGCTGAAGTTTGCCAAAACATCATTCAGCTGCTACATATAATAAGCAAAAAAAGAAGTTGGTGGAACTTCTCAAACCGCTTAAATTTTGTGAACGGAGTATAGGTAAAGCACCCCCCTAATCTTTCTTCAGGGCTTTGCCCTACAGATTGACTTGGATGCTATTTTATTGTAACCTCAAAGGACATTACATAAAGTTTTAGTCATCTGGAGAAATATAGGCTATGGCTGTATATCAATGAACATTAGTTTGTGATTTTTGTTTAAATTAACAATTTATTTATAATATTATGAGAGTTACGTGTCATGTTGTGTCTGCAGCTCTTGAAAAATGAAAACTTGATATACAAACCATCAAATTAACATTCAGAATCAAATAGGCTTTTAACTGAAGAATAAGACTTATCCCTGTCCACAAAACAGACTCATTGCCAGTGTTGTAAGTTGTAATATATCATTGCACATTTAATTTGTAGTACCTATTGTAAGTTACAGCATTTATGAAAAATTAATTTAATTTATCATGAAATTATCCTTTTTGATCTCTTAGGAGCAACTTGTTGGCCCAGATAGCCAGGCTACTTGGGTGCAATAAAATATTCACTGCGGAAACGGCTAATGATTTGGCAGTCAAACTTATCACTAACGTATCTCTAGGTAGGGGAGCTCAGCTGCCGTATGACGTGGTGAGTGATTATTGTTGTTGCTTACACCATTGGCATATAAGAAACATTAAAAAAGTAAGAAACTTAAAATGTTAAATATTATTGCAAAAGTAGTAGGCCTATTGTGATTTTTTTGCCATGGAGGCTAATTTACTTCCATGAATTCCATAACTAAACTTAAGATAAGATATACATGAGGCGTGTTGGAGGGAAGTTTAAAAACATGTCTCTATTCATTGTAGTTTTAACTTTTTTTACTGACACTATTCATTGCACCACCGTTGCACAAAAGTGTTGTCGAGGTCCGTTAACTACCATTTTGTAAAACCTCTGCCCATTTGGTTTCTCAGTAAATTCTGCGAGCCACTTGTTTTTTAAAGATACAAACAAACAATTTAATTTCTTTGCCAAAACTGTCATAACAGTGCAAGTGAAATTTATGGAAACAATACCGTAAACTTCCATATTAGTAACTAATGTGTTAAGATTATAACATGTATTTCTACTTTCAGGGTTTCTCGGATGATAGGTATGCAGAAGTCAAGGTGATCCGTCCAATGCGAGATTTGTCAAAGAAAGAACTTGTGTTCTACAATGTATTTCATGACTTGATTCCTGCACATGTGCCTTCTTTGTTAACCAAGGTAATATTTTACTTAACAATCTTATTTGAGAATTTCAAGCAGCTCCATAAAGTGTAGAATGAAGAAAGATGCAGTGTGAACTACGAGGTCTTTTTACTTCCTAATATTAACTGATTCTTCAGTTAGCCACTATAATATAATAATACAATTACCTCGTCACAGCTCTGAAGTTTCCGTATATTACGGTTGTTTTGGCATCTAAATGCCATCCTCAGATATGGATATCCACCAAAATTGGCGTCGTCAAATTTTACACACACGAAACACAATAAAAAACAGTTTAAAACGTATAAACAAGAAACAGGCCTGTCGCGCTCATGATGACCGATACGAGTACGGTCATCATGTGCGTGATAGGCATGTCTCTTGTGTGTTTAAAGTTTTATGACAGCTCAGGGGCTAAATCATGTCTATTGATCTTCAGTTAGGATAATTTAAAATAAACTCAACCATTATTAGTGCTGGTTCAAGTTTTGAATTGAATTGTTTAAACTTACTTTTTAGGTTAAACCTTCTGATTAAAGAGAGAGAAATGTAACAGCTCGGTTACCAAACCAATCTTATATACTCATATTTTTCTAATTTCTGTCACTAGGCCGAGCCACATTCAAGTATTCACAGGCTGACGGAGTCATTCCTCACAGACTTACAGGACGGGTTCCCAAGTACGCTCTCAACAGTTTTTCGAGTTGCTGATAAGCTCACTACAAACCCAGAGGACAAAATCATTTGTCCGCTATGCCAGGTAACTAGATCATATTATTGTGAAGGAAAACCAAATTTTTGTGGCTTGTGGTTTTATAGTTAAATTAATCTACAAGAAAACACCATTATTTTTAGATAAAAAGTACAGGTATTTAATGTATAACATAACAGGATAGCCTACTTCAAAATTAACAATTATTATTCCTGTTCGGGGTATATTAATTAGTGTATTTCTTCCAGCAGCTTAGGCTGTATTCAAGACACTGACAGATAAGTCCAATTTAGTATGGTCACTATTTCATAAGAAAGTATTAAAGTAATTTATCAGAATGAATTCTGACTAAAAAGCTGTAATCTTTATATTTAGGAATATTTAGTTTAATAAGTAGTCAATAGTTATTTGTGTAACTAGTGGTGAAAGTGGCACTTTGCTGCACACGAGAGCGGCTCGTGCGGAATGATCTCGAGTGCAGCAAAGGCCTTTTTCACTCGTGTTACACATTATATTTTTCCTACAGTCACTATAAAGCATATAAATAATTAGTCTTTCAAACACTATACAACACGTTTTTAGGTTCAGCTGGGAACACAAATGGTGCCCTAGAGAAAGTAGTACCCGCGGTCCGTATCACTCCGCTATTTTTCCTTGGCAAGGAATGTGCTCCGCGTTTTGAGAATATAGTTCCGTATGTTTTTGTAGTTTGAAGTGGTTTCCGCGCCTAAAAAATGCTTTAAAGGTATTTTCTTGTTTATTAAGATCGTAGGAATGTTTTAAAAACGTTTAAAAGAAAAGTCCAGAAAGTTCAGAAATACCGAAACTATAAACACGAAATGACAGGTTAAATCGTAGTTATAATAGTCAATCAGCTGCTCATAGTATTATTATCTTTAAGTGTTGCCAACCTATTTCCAAGCGTACACGGATTACGTGCATAATAGAACCACGCTGTTTTGTGTTGTTTCGTTGGAATCCTGATGTGCGGCAAAGTATAAACCGTACGGCAAAGTATAAATATGCAGCAATTAGCAGCTTTCTGTACTATAAACAGTACAAGGAAACCAACTTTTTCGGGTGACTGTAGGAAATAGTAATATCACCATTATAATATTGATGTTTGTTCAACAGGCACCAGTAGACACTGATAAAGTACCTTCTTCTTCCCTTAGTGCTACACAATTCTCAAGGATTGTTTCTCATGCAGGACCAAGTAAACTTGATGCATCTAGTTTGGAGGCCACTTGTAATTTAGGTAAAAAATGTTGTAAATCAATTTACCACTGTTATGTTTGTCATTTGAAACAACTTTGTGTCGGGTAGTGCAATAACGGCAAATATTAGTACATTTAGGATTTTGTGAGGGTAGCAGGCTTACCTGAATGGAAGAGTTCAATCTGTTAGTGAAACACATACTTAACGCAAAACACTGAAATATTTTCCTGTCACTGACAGCATTTACAACTAAGGAAGGCGTAAGTTGAAGAAAAAGTGAACTTCCTAAAGATTAATACATTTTAGTTAGATACAAACACACACAGGTTCTTTGGATTGGACTGCTCGAGGTTGATTTGGGTTAAGAGACAATGGTGTTAAATGTAATAGTACCAATATCGTACGATTACCGGCTATTGGCTAACGATCTTATTTCCTTTACATGGTGTGATTTGCACAAGGCAACTAGATCTAAAATTGATAACAGTACTTAATATTCAATATTACAATTCTTATAATTTTGTATTTCTTGACAGTTTACTTAACAATTTTGACTTTAGCTGTATTTTCTTTTCTATTGTCATGAATAATTGTTGTGTCAGGTTCAGAACAGTGTTGCAATGGTGGAGGGGACCAGTCATGTAGGAACAAAGCCTCTGAACCTTCGCTGCAAAACCTGCTTTGTTACGGTTGCAACCTGATTGTCAGAAACGCTGTGAGTACAGATACTAGATAATATTGAATTGATTATTTGCTACTAACAACTATACGTTTTTATGTCCTACTATCCAGGGATGCTAGGATGCTTGGCTCTAGCCCGTAGCCATTCACAGTTTATACACTCACTAACGGAAACCAAAACACACATATTCAGAAACCACCGTGGGCTATGATGCCTAATGAGTAATGGCAATTGAAAAATTGTTGAAAAACCTGTAAACTCCTGTTTTTAGGCTATTAAGACATATGAAACTAATTTTTTAGTTAAAAAAATTGTAAAAGATCACGTTTTAAGGTCAAGGGATGGGGGTTCAAATCGCTAAACACCCACCCCCCCTGGATACGCCACTGGAATCCACTTAACCTTCTATGTATACTCTCACAGGTGGAGGAAAAGGTAACATAACATATAAGTTATATATTGAATAATGAATATATTCGTACGTTAAGCAACCTTATGACAATTTTCTGTGTGTTTTTATTAACATTCTTTATTTTCAGGATGTGGCTAAATTTCCGAATGAAGTAAAGAGGAGTTTACAAGAGGCTAGCCAAAGGTTTCAAATGAGAAAAGAAATCGAACATTTTCTACTGTGACACTTTCTTAATAATTAATTTTTGTTACTTTATGTATATACAAGTGTATAATTTGTTTTAGGATTGTTGTTACTTTTTCCATAATAAATTAGTTATATTTTTTACCTGGGATTGTTTGGACTGATATTTATTTATTCACATTTTCATACAAAAAGGAGTAGGAAGAGAACGTCAGTCCCTTAATTTACCTGTAAAAGTATAATGAAGGTAAATAAAAATGTGTCTGATAACACTCTTGAAACATATTGTTAACTCACAAGATCAATTTTGATTGGACATTCTAATCACCATCAGACCCATGGGCAAATGACTAGAAGATTCTCAATGGCGTCCCATACTATTATCAGAAGTGAAGGTTATCGGAAGTTCTGATAGAAGTTCAGATAAGTACAACTGTCAAAATTTACTTATTCATTAAATAGCTTATTAATATTTTTAAATTTTCCTCATAAAAATAAATAATTCTTCGCAAGCCTTCTTATCATTTCCTCTCTTACAATTCTATAAAATACATAGATTGTCCCCAATTTTCCCTGATGAATGGCAACTTTGTAACAAGTTTAGTGCGACCTTTGATCTTTCTGGTTTGTTTTTTTTCCATGCAGATATGTGGTTTTTAAACATTTTACAAAATTAACAGTAAAAGCCATTACAATTGTTATGATTTATTTTGAAGATCCATGGCGAAGCATCAAATTTGTTGCAATCTTCTATTTGTGGATGCAGTATTTAAGGTGTTATGAGTCCTAAAGGCTATTGATACTCCATATTTCACTTCTTGAATTGGTTAGCAATCTTTTGTGTTCTGGTTCTCGTTCTCGTGTAACTAAATTTAGCATATCTTGTGTTTTCCTCTTTTATTTCTTCCAACGTTATCCTGCTGTTTAGTTTTAAGTTGTTATCCGTTAACTTGTGGAATAATTTGTATCAATTCCTTTTTCCTATTGGTTTCACTAAGTGAGATTTGATATCTTTGGCACAACATGGATCCAAAGGCTGGAGTCTTGTGGATTGTTGGGGAATTGCTGCTAATCATGACTGTTTGCGTATGATTCATGTTGTACCGCAAAGTATGCAGCAATCCATACTCTAGCTCAAGGATAATTCAAAAAGGCAATAATGATCATCAATGTGATTTATTTACAACAAATTATGAATTCTTACAAAACAAATATAAAGTGTCTGACTAGATGAGTGTATTACTGTAGTTTGATGATGGGGAAATGGTGGTGATATGAGAAGTCAAAATCTGGTGGCTTGGTGCTCTCCCTCCTATGTCCTGTGGCGAGAAGTTTCAACACCACAAAGTTGGTTTTGGCAACTCTCAACAGCTCATTGATCTGTAATAAGACACAATTCTAAACATGTATCTTATGACACCGTTAGCCTGTAATGGGAATAATATAATAGTAAACGTTATTTATCTATCAAATATTCCCACAATACAAAGTAAGTCATATTTGTCTCAGATAAACCCACAGAGGAGGTTCGACCCTTATAGTAATACTATAATTTGCCTGGTGGCAAGGAGATCTCTCAGAAGGTGAAAATATTACCCACATCTAGTAATTAATCGATATTTATTACATGGACATTACAACTGCGGCAATACATACATTGAAATGCGTTTTAAACGATACTCTATCACAACGATATACAGTTTGTCGGAACGTGCTCCTTTCTCGCACCAAACCTACACTACACACTTCAATCCTCATGGGCGAATCGTAGCACTTTATTACATGTAAAGCGGTATCTCAAGGTAACCGATACATAACGAATCGATACATTAACAGGATGAACGATAAACTGGATTTCGTGAAGAGACAGATGCCCCTCCCGATATTCTGTAAAACATATATTTACAATTTATGTCGTACGAGACATATGCCCCTTACGACTTGATACGTGAATTAATCTGAAGGCGAGTATAATTAATCTAAATAGACTATCGACGCGCGAGACATGTGCCTCACGCGGATTAACACGTAAAAATTACCCAAAAGACCACCTCACTTCAGAGACAAAATACAGAGGAACTTTAGCTCTACCTTACGTCTGAACGCCTATTAAGCTGATTTCGTTAAGCCAGATTATTCTCAAACGTACGGCAATATCACTAAGCGAGACATCTACCCCACACGGAATATTGCGCGTAACGCAACACTTTATCTAATTTCTTCGTGGGACTTTAAAATACAAAAATAAGATCTCAATCAAAAGGGGCTTTAAATTAAAGAATAAACGATAAACTAACACTCTCTGTAAACGTGTCGCCATGCGAGATAGTTACCCCACACGGAACACAACATACAACTTAATAAATTACACACTTTGTGAGTTATTAGAATACTACTAATGTTGAACAGCAATTCTAAAGGGGACTTCAAATTGAGGAATACATGATACAATAACACTCTCTGAAAATAAAATTATACTTTATCCTCGCTTAACCTACAGAAAAACAAAATGGTACATTCCGAAATAAAATTTTACTGACATTTCACTTTACAAAAACTTAACCAAAATGATTTCTTACTTGAAATTAAGAGGGCCTTTTTATAATTGAACCGACGAGACAGATGCCTCCGCTCGATTATATGATGTAAAATTTCTAAAAGAATTTAGAGCCTCGAGGTGAGGGACAATTGCCTCTAACCGAGAGTTAGAACGTTCGATACTTTATGGACTCGATACTGGAAAATTAAAAACGAGACCGACTTGGAGAAAATTGACATTGAAATCTGAGTTTGTTAAAGAATTAACAACTTACGACTTTTGGAGGGACACTTACCCATATGGAAATATGCCCCCGTCGGTAATCGGCGACGCTACACTCACTTACGCCATAAACGAAACTTTATAACTTGATAGCTTGACGGTACGGCACGGAATGTCCTCTGGTCACCTCCTAGAGCTCCTTCCCCTCTCAAGGTCGTGGTGGGGGGGTAACTAAATGACGGTGGCGCCTGACGTACTCCACGACAGATCTGCGATTTACTTATCTCGCGGGAAATTTGAAATTCACTGTCACAAGCCATGGTGTTGTAAGGGAGCAGGTGGCTAAGTTAGTGGGGGAAGGGTCAGTATGAAATCTGGGAGGGGGATTTGCGCTCATTGCCTTAGGAGGAACGGGCACCTCTGGCCTCTAATTTATGCAGGTAAGCTAGTTAGATCCATGTAAAAGAAGGAATTTGTTTGAAAAGCAATTAAAGTTTGGCCAGTCTACCAAAATAAATTGGTTTTCTCTCAACCAACTCCCTATAAATCCTATATTAGCACGGTGATCTCTTACTGTGCATCTATTAGCCCTTGCACTCTTAATTTTCTCAGGTATGCTACCTGAACTCGATACCTTTTCAAAATTCCTAATCAGCCACTTAGTATCTTACCTCATTGTCGGGGTTGGTGATGGACTCCAGCAAGGACCTAGCCTGGTGGAAGTGTTTGCACCCGTGGGTGTACAAGCTCTGACTATGGGTGTGCTGTAGTGCCGCGGTCATGTCATGGAACTCTGAGTACTGCACGGGTGGAGGTGTCAGAAGACTGCTGAAGGGTGCGAAGCGGTGTTCGTAACGGACTCGCTCACAGTCAAACTCCGGGTGTGGCAGTTGTAACTTCCCGTCTTGCCGGAATCCCAGCATTGCCTGTGTTTGGAGAAACATTGCCATCATTACAATAAAATAACAGGCATATTGAAGTGTTTTTTACCCAAGACATTTACTCTATCCCAAACAGTTATTTCCACTTCTTGGCTGTATTTTATGAGGAATGTACAGTAGAAATGATTGAAATCCGATTAATCAATCCTAAATAATTCAGTAGCCTTTTGATGGTTTGAGTCTGAACCCAGGTGCCTTTGGCTTTTAATACCTGATCCTGGCTAGAGGAGCTGATCTTTTACTAAGTGTCAAAGCTACACAAGGCATCTCACCAAATCTATACTTGTCCTGTGTTCTTATTAGGGTCGAAATACACTTAGAAGCATTAATAGTAATGATATTAATATCTTTAATCAAATGTTGAACTTCACAGAGCCTTTATGTAGTAGATGGTCGATGTGAGTTAGCAGTTCCACGATTTAACAAAAACAATTATTTAAAATAAACAGGCATGTAAAAATCAAATTGGTGTTATGCAGGAAGTTATACACTGTATTAAAACAAAATTCATGGACATATTTTTAACAAAATAAAAGATACACAGATAAATTACCTTATAATATCCGCCACACATGTTCTGTAGAGCCTGGTGCAAGATGATTTCCCTAGTGTAAGGTCTGGCCTTCTTTTTCCTTGGTTTGCTACGTCTCTGTGCCCTCCCCGCGGCGGCAGCCTGCTCCTGATCCACCAAGAAACTGTCGGCTCGTGTCAGAGATGAGATCAACCAACCATAGAGAAATTCGTACAAATACCTGCAACACATCTAGACCTTCAGTACCATTTTTAGGGACTAGATAGTAATGTGTTTTTCATTAACTTTAAAATGGGTTTTCCCAGCTTCCAAATACGGCTGCAGGGTTGTGAATGTCATGCAAGTGTTTTAGTGTCTGCTTTTTTTATACAGTCCCTACCAAATTTGGCAGCTAGGAATACGACTGTTCCTGACTGTGTGTTTAGTTGGTGCTGAAAACCGCAGCTGTACTCTGCAACCGAATTCGGCAGCTATGAAAAAAACCTCAAGTTATTGATGTAGACATATCAACCATTAAGTTTAAGGTGTAGATAACCTTTTGATCAAATAAAACGTCTAGTTGAATGTGCAAAAATAGAGTGCTCCTTTCAAAGTTGGATTTTCTGCTTTTTGGTACTAGACAATCAAGTTAAATAATTTCCCAATCCCTTAGTCACCCAACCTGTATAAACAGCCTTAGTATCAAAGGTCAACCCCAACGTTATCTCTGAAGCTAGTTCCGTGTTAGCCATTGAAGAGGACACATGGGGTACCCCACTACACTTCAGTTCAGTAAGCAAATAATCTCGCAAAGGTACCTATTATACTTTACTTTCATTTTTTGGGCTGTTCCCATTATTCTATCCAAATGAAATGAGTAATTTACAAGCTCACTTAATTATAAGCTCACTCTGTCTATTACACTCAACAACTTCAACATGGGAATGGCTTGTCTAGTTCTGTTAATAGTCAAGTCTCATAAAAAGTTAGGATTGTGATTTTATGATGGTAAAATAACAAAATATTGTGGTTCATTGACTTACTCTACTCAGCATAGATGTTAAAAAAACTATCGTGTATTCAAGAGAATGGAGCAGAATAAAATCTGGAGAATATTTAGAGTAAACAAGGTGAGAGGGAGTTAGGGATTGAAGAAATCACAGAAAGAGTGAATCAGGGGTACTTGAAGCCAGCTAAAGGAGTAGAAAAAGCAATACTAAGATGGTTTGGAAATGCAAGGCAATTTGTAGAAAAATCATGGTAGAGGAAAGGACGCTGTGAAGAATGTAGACAAATAGGTTCCAAGAAAGAAAGAAGGTGGTTAGGTTACGTGCAGAGGGTTCTGGAGAAGAAAGGAGTGAAATGCCAAATGATAGAGGAAGAGAAACTGTGAAGAGATTAAGGATCAGGTAGCATATTTATTTAATGCCCATAGCTAAGGATTACCGAAACAAAAGAGGAAATTTATCTCTTTAGCATTCTTTTAGTAATCTAAAACCTAATCTTTAGATCACTAGTAGTTTGGTATGATTATGCTTAAATACTTTTCACAATGTAAAACTCACCAGAAGATGTAATGGTACTCGTGAGTGCTGTAGAGTTCCAACTCAAAGCCAGAGAGAAGAAACATAATCATGATTCTGAGACTGTGGTAGAGTACCCAAGTGCCAAAACATGCCAAATGAGATCTCGGAGGGTCACACTTCTGACCTATGTTGTTGAGGAACGCATCCACTCTCTCTGCCTACAAATTTTAAATTCATCTTCATGTAAGCTAGCTGAACTCTATTCTAATCAAAAACTTAGTTGTGATGCACTAGGTTTACCTTTAAATTATATTTTAAAACCTAATAGACTATATGAAAATTCACTTAAATTGGTATCATTACAAAACTAAATACTCAACTGGGTTTAAAATTGAAACCACCACAGATAAATGTCAAGAAACCCCATTTGTGCTCAAAAGGTACTCGCTAGGTTTCAGTTTCTTGCACTTAGCTGTAAATCCTCTATTTTTTGCATTTTTTATTCCACCATCAAAAGATAGTCGATTCCCCATGGGTGCATTCTTTTCCCTATTACTCTAAATATCCCGTCCTTTAAAATATTCAAGATAATGAAGAATGTGTCAACACCAAGTTTTTCTACTAAAGGGACCTTCAGTCAATTTTGACAAACACAGTTAAGGTTATATTATTTTAAGTTCCCTAAGTAAAATGGTAAACACATAGTGTTTGTATTCCAAGCAGCAGTTGAAGTGGCCAGTAACATAGAAATTATTGAGAAAACTTATAAAATTGTAAATAAGATTGAATTTTTTTATCTAGTAGATGAGTACGGTGCTTTGGTTGAATTTTGAAGAATCGCAGAAACCTAACCTAACGCTATTGCCATAGACACAAACCTCGTCCTGTAGAGATGCAAACTCCTCCAGTAGATGAGCTAACTTGTCTCTCTGTCTGGCTCTGTTGTGTCCACACAGTTGGATGAGACTGGTGAACGGACGAACACATCTGTCAAAGAATGTGTCCACATACTCCCTGGCCTGCACAGAAACATCACACTCAACACTTTAGTGTAGTTGTGAAACTTATAAATAAAACAAGAATTTTGAAGCAGTTTTTTACAGTCTCAACTACTAGCTGTAAAATAAAATGAACATTCATTCAACCATGATGAAGTATAAGTTTTTGAGCATATTATATCTAACGTTCTTGATGTAAAATTGAAATTGATAATTAATCTACAATAAGGGACTGAAAGCCAATTCAGGAAGAAGGAATGGATTTGTTTAGAAAAAGGCAATAATTTTAGCAATATAACTACAACGCCTGATGTGATAGGTTATGAGACTCACCTGAGGGTTGGCAACGAATGGGTTCCTCGGTGCGAGGGAGGGAGGAGATATGAAGTTGCGAGCTGCGTCTCTCAGAGCATCTACACAGCTACCGTTAGCTCTGTTGACGTACAACAGTTGCATCACGCTGCGAGATACGATACATGGGTTGCTCCTGCTCAGCTCTATAAACAGGTCCTGCGCAGGTGCAAACAGATCTGTGTAAACAGCTGATAGGCTACGTTTGTCAGTAGCTATCATTTGACTCAACACATGCCCCCTGGTGTGAATGAATGAATCTAAAAATCGTTTTATCTCCAAAACTCTGAACAATTTAACGTTTAACGCTAGGAACATACTTAAATGTGGAACAGTAATGACCTATGAGGCTGGTTCTTGTTACTAAAAGTATGGATGGACGGGCTTGTTCTTCTAATTTGAGTTGAGACAAAACAGCATTTTTAATTCCTTCCTGATTTTCAGGACAAGAGGGACAGCATTTTTCTTCCCCTGTGGAAAATCTTAAATACAATTTCTTTTAAATGGCAATAATGACTAATAATTTCACATGATTGTGACAAGTTTGTAAACACTTTTGGCAATTGCAAATACCGGTAATTCGTGATCATCTTTTGAGTTTGCGCAGACACCATCATTGTCACTTGGCGACAATATTGCTGAGTCAAAACCAAATTTAATGCTTATCCGCCGGAGGAAATATTTTTCTATAAAAAGTTCACCAAATATTGGCACCTGTCCATCCCACATTAAAAGCCAAATGGTCAAGGACAGCTAGGTCCACTTTCAAACCATCTAAGAGCAGTTTTTCGGACACAAACTAAGAACATAAAAAAAACTACATTCAATTGCTTTTTTCTAGATTAATAAAGGCTTTAAGGCTAAGCCACACCGCCATCTGCAGGGTAACGTTTTGTTACGCTTCAGATTTTTTGGGCCGATCGCTTACCGTTGTTTCAAATGGGGAAAGTCATACCGCCGCATACAGACTATGCGGACTTGTCTGCTGGATCAGAAGCAGACATATGTGCACTGGGCTCATCTGGACTCATTCACATGGCGAATTATAAGAACTGAGTTAAACATGGGCCGTGTGACAATCGAAGACCTCTGTCACAGTGTGTCTTGGGCATCGTTATGTAACATTACGCTGCAGATGGCGGTGTGGCATGGCCTTTATATACTGATATTACCCACGTACCAGAGCACTATGGAAGGAGGTGCATGTAGCTACCCTGCAGGCCTGTTTTAGTCTCCCTATAAGCTCTTCTAGATATTGATATGCATCTGCTCTACTCTTGACTCTGGTGTAGCGAGGAAATGTCGGTGGAAGCAGTCTCTGATTGACTAGCGGCTCAAAACCCATCATCACCGAACCTCCGTCGGCTATAGTTACAGATTGGGAATTAACTTCATTTTATAGTTGAGGACAATCATGACGTATAAGGTAACCAGGGTGCTGGTTCAAAGGGGCGCATAGCCTACTTTTGAAAGTTTTACTTAAAACTCTAATGGAAACTATTAAAACAATTTTTTTCATGTGGAAGATCAATACCTAACCTATCTTTAAATACTAGAACATTTGTCTCATACACAATAGAGTCTTATAAATTAAAAATTAGACTTCCACAGTCATACTAGACTCTATTTTACTAGATCAGGGGTCTCCAACCTATGGCCTGCGAAGGCTTACTGGGAAATAACTAACTGGTCAGTGGTAACTGCAGCAACAGAGTTTATTGAATCTGTGATCGACTCAGTTGATAAAGTCAACAAAGTTGTAGGCATATTTATGGACTTGAGTAAAGCCTTTGATAGCATTAAATGGGACTTTATTACATAAATTGAAATTGTTTGGGATTGAAGGGAAATAATATAATTAGCTTAGTACATATTTCTGTAACCGACAACAGTTTGTAGAAATTTTAAATTAAAAAAACAATAGATTGCTCAAATACAAATCCACTTTTAAACAGGTAATAAGAGGTGTTCCTCAAGGGTCCATATTAGGATCTTTGTTTTTCACATGCTACATAAAATATATGACAAAATTACATAATAATTATAGCTTATGTCTTTATGCTGATGACGCTAATCTTCAAATAAATGGGCACTCTATTGAGGAGGTTGAGTTGTCATCATTTTCAAACCTGGCTCTTTTAGATCAGTAAAAAAAAAATAATAGTTTAGTATTATTAATAGTCCTCCAAATATTGTCAATGTGGCCCTTGAGTAAAAAAGGTTGGAGAACCCTGTACTAGATCATTGGGAGATGGCTGCATTAATGAATTGGTGAAAATCCTGGACGACGTTTCAGATAAGTTGAAACAACCCGTCTCTGAGGCAAGCTACAATTCAACAATAATTTTAAAGAGTATATGTATGTGACTTCTGCTATGCATTTGCAATGTCTGCCAGTTAAACTATGCAGTCATCTCCTGATGAGTAAGATTTCACTGTTGAAATAGAATCTAGAACATCTTATATAACTTTGTAGGCATAGCTTTGTAGGCTGATCTTAAAGTATACCATACACACTTTAGTTAATTATAGGCATTTTCCACTCTTAGTTTAGTTAGTAACCATTCTTTTCCTTTGATTTTTTAAGTCATACTTTCAGGGCCATCTAGTTTATGGAACCGTGTTTATTCCAAAATCAAACTACTGCACAACTCACGTGTAGGTGTAGGTTGCAGACCACGGTCCAATGTTTTGATCAGTGTAGGGATGACCTCAGCACATGTAGTCAGCAGTTTGCTGCTGTCCCCCACGCTGACTCCACCTTGCTTGCTGAGGGAACTGAGTGCTTGGTACAACAGTCGTGTGAACCTGACTCTGGCGTGCAGTGCTATCAAGTCTTCATGCTGAAATACACTTATAGTTAATGTTGCAAGAGTATTTAAAATTGTGTTATGTATTGTTGTTGCTCCAATTTTTTAGAAAAAAAAACATTCATCCATACCATCACTTTGTACTAAGGATCACTTAAGACATTATTTAGGGTACTTGCGGCCTCAGCACTAGTGGCTCCTGCCCCTATATGGAGCTTCCCTACAATCACAGCAAAATCATGAAGTTTTCCCATGATCATTTTAGTGTTTTGTTATGTTTGCATTTTTGATTAGGACTATTTGATTTTTGTATTAGTTTGTTTAGATGTTTTTACACATTACAAGCAAGACCAAATGAACAGGATGGCACAATGTTATGAACATTTCTGTGATCGTGTAGACATTTTTATCGTCTCCTGCTATCATGGAAACTTTGCCGCAGTAATCCGCAATCCTGAATCTTCTTATGATGCAATCGTTGCAGATAACACCGTGATCATAAAAGCTCGGATCAAGTGCAATTTTCTATCTAAGTGCTCAATCTCTCGAGTTTGTAGGCTACGCTCGGCTCAGCTCAAACATCAAGTCGCTCGCACACCTCTAACGAAAAACCTATAAATGATCAAGTTTGAAGAACATACCTTGCCAGTGTCGGGTGTGTCGGCAGTTCTAGCTCTAACCCTACGTTGTAGTTCGTCCTCAGTCTCCCGCAGCAACGCCACGACTCTCTGCTCGCTCCAGTCTGGACACAGGCTGTAGCCGTACACTGTAGGCTGGAAGTCTTCCTCCTCAAACACTGTACCTCTACAAGACAACACATGAGTGATATCCAGGGTAGGCTATCTGAACTAAGTTAAATTCAATTTAGTGCTTCACATTATTGTAAGGGGAAAAAACTATTTCAATCAATAGGCTACATCTATTATCATCAAGCAAGTAAGCAAATTAAACTGGCTGCAAAGGGATAAAAAATAAAGAACCAAACTATTAGGATACACTTAGGGTAATTTGGTGGTTAACGTGTCAAATATCAAAAATATGTCAAAATTAAGTCAAATCACCTTAATCGCAAATAAAAATGTTCTGGAAATTTTGTTTAGAATCCATTTAACATAGGTAATGGGTAGAAGATTATCTGATAGAAACGCTTCTATTTAATACTTTTTTCTTATGAAATGGCGAACTTACTAATGTGGTATTTTAAGCCAAGTATGAATGGAAATAAGTGTAGGATGAGTAGCATGGATGAATGTAGATGTATGGATTTAAATTGCTCACATAGGCCTACACAGAACATTGTTATTTTGTCACCGTTTGGGTACTTTAGAGCACTTCGATGATAAATCATAGAGAGTAAGATAAAAAGCAAAGCTTCAAAAACCTTTCGACTAACCAACTTTTGGATAGAGTACATTACACTACTGTATTACACAATTTTCGCTACCTGTTTACAAAGTCCTTGATGATGTAGACGATCTTGTAGACAGAGAAGCAGAAGGCCCGCAGTGGTTTGTCCTGGACTGTGTGAGGTTTATGTAGGAAGAGGTTGGTGAACACGGTCTGTGCCAGAGAGTGACCTTCTAGCCAAGACACCAGGCAGGCTAGAGTGTTGTCTATGACGCCTATCTGCTCACTTAAACTGAGACTGGACAGCTTCAGTTTCCCACACTGTGTGAAAATAGTATACCTGGTGTCAAAAGCTATCACAGAATATGATTACCGGAGAGTAATTTATTTGTACAATTATTCCAGAAACACTAAATGTATTATTAAGAAAATATTGATACAGTAGGCCTACCTAATTAGTACTTACAAATAAGTATCAGAAGTAACATCTTGATTTATGGCCTGTGACAAATTGTACGTAGTTGAAACTTTGTAAGCCTCTAGAAAACAATCTGGTTGGGTTGCTATTTAATGCATTTGAAAATTTAATTTAAACCCATTATAAAATGTTGAAACTCAATAAGTGCATTTCACCCAGTTCAGTTTAGTAAGGACAATAAATAATGTAACTCACATCAACGGCCTGTTCGAAAGTGAGCGCAGCTTTGTTTCCTCTGTTGCAAAGCATTCCTGCGTCCATCTTCGGGTCCATCATCTCTATGGCCGACATAGCCTCGAACAGTCCAAACAGCTCATCATGCAGCAATTCGCCTAAGTCCAACACTGCAAATAGTAAGTTATGGAATTAATAAAGTGCTTGCCAAGTAATCTGAAGGTGCCAGTTCACTGAGAAACATCAGTATCTTTTCCATAGTTTGAATCTGGAACCACCCTTGATCATTGTGGTAGTAATAACATGGTTCTTGGTGAAGAAAAAGCTGTTTTTACTCAGAAGCACAGTTATCATTTATTTTCATTTTCACTTTAAAATTCATTGTAAAGTGTGGAGTATTCACTTTAAAATAGGCCTAGACATTCTGAGCAAGAATTTTCAAGAATATACTTCTGAAAGTTTTTATAACAGGCTACACAATGAATCAAATAGGCCTAGGCCTAGTCTAGTAGCATGAAATAATCTAAATCACTTACCTTTGATGGAATTAAAAAAGTCATCAGTGATATCTACCCAGTTGTAGTTATTTTCGGAAAGCATGACTGGACTCATTGCTGGGCTGTGATCGCCGGAGCTCCTAAAATAGAACCAGATAAGTTACAGTTATACAAAAATCAATGTATACATAAGAGTAGGCATAAACTTGACTCAAAGCATATTCTTTCCCTTAAGCAAGCTAAAGCAAGGTAAGCTTAAGCTTTTGGCAGTTCTTTATCAATAAACCTTATCCTTTCCCTTTATGAATAAACCTTAGCTAAGCTAGTAGGGCCTAGGCCTAGGTTTTGTTCAAAGAAAAATAGGTAGGGTAAGCGGGGGGAATTGGGTGGTAAAATTTTTAACAATTTTTATATTTTTTATTTATTGATATTTTAACATTTAAATGACATGTATGGACAGCCAATCTCTTCAAGAATAAGCCATAACCTTTTCAGATTTGTACCTTTAAACATTTAAAGGAGGGAAATAGTTTTAGGGACCCTTGTCATTTCGCGATTCTAAAAGTGGTATGCAAACTTTTTCAATCTTTCATATAAAATGCATTAAAATTTTCATACATGTGAAATTACATTATTTTTCACCATAAAATGAATAAAAATATACCAAAGAACATGCCCAATACTTATTTTCATAATAAAACAACTACTTCTAATTTTTTCTTTTTTTTTTCAAAAATGTTACCACCCAATTACCCCCTTATGGGAAATTGGGTGGTAAATTTTAAAACTGAGCTAATATTTACTGTTTCCTTGGCTTAATTTAATTAAAAAAGGCAATAATAATAATATTTTGTGAATATAATTCACACTAGAGTTTTTGTTTTGGTATTTCACCACTACCACCCAATTACCCCTATACCAATACCATTAGCCCTATACCACCCAATACCCGTGAGTTCACGGCACATTGGACTGAACCCAGAAGACCTAAAAAAAAGTCACAAAATTGTATTATAGTTACTTAAATAGGCATAGAGACTGCAGTAGCGACTGAGCTGATGTAGTAAACTAGTGCATTAGGCCTACATTAGTTTATACAGCCTCCCTTGTTTTATATCGTGCGAAGGACTGGAAAATCGTGCCTCATTTTCTAAAGTTTTGAGACCATATTACATAATTTAAACCTTATTAGAGAAACATTTGTCCCTATTTTCCTGTTAATATTATTAATGAACTCTTTATATTATGAATTTAAAAACTGTAGGCCATAATATTTAATTGTGGTTAAAGATTTTTTTTCATGTGCGTAGTTTAGGAAAAATATGTTTGTCACCACAAAATTTATGGTAAATTTTGTTTATTTTTTACTAAACCTAGTCAAAAATGTTGCTTTTAGTTTCCTTTATAACACCCAATTTCCCAACTTTAAATAGCATTTAGTGTTTATGGATTGTTGACCTACCACCCAATTACCCCCATGGGGGTAATTGGGTGGTAAAACACATTTTAATTTTTTTAATTTTTTTTGGGAACTGCGGGAAAAAAATAAAACATGAAAAAGATAGCTATTTGTATTATAAAATTACTTAAATAGGCATTTAGCAACAAAAATAGGAAAAGTGGCCGAACCAGATACATTTGTAAAACATACCTCCCAATTCCCCCCGCTTACCCTAGGCCTAAACTTAATGCAAATGATACAGAAAAACTAAACATGCTACATTATATAGTGAAAAGGGGATACACTTGCTACATTACCACTAAAACATCGATAAATAAACAGTTGAGGAAAATTTTTTATTAAAAATGTAGTCAAGATTTACTTAGATCAAAAACCACGGCCTAGACATATTTTGTGGTTCGTCTAGAAAGTTTCTTTTGACTTTTAATCAAATTATAAGATGAATATGTATGCAGTAATTCTAATATAACTAATGAAAAGATAATAATTTGACTTACACTTCCTTTTTATCATCAATGTTCAATGACTTCAAATCCTCACTAACCTCTTCATCAGCCATTGTTTTCATTTTGATTTTTGGCTTTTATTTACTTTACTTTTACACTTTCCTTTCAGTTTGACTTTTTCCAACGCGTCTGCTGTCTGCTCAATCCTCAATGCTGCCGTTCCGTTTCCCACCCCACCTCCAGCTGATGTCATTTTGTTTTTGATTGACACTGCTACCAACCGACAAAAGTAGATTCAGATCAATATTATTCATTACATGATACATGATCTCTCCGTCCGTAGTCCTTTGCCTTAAGGAATTGGACAGGTCAGGGTTAATACAAAGAATAACCAGCTTAATACTAATTTTTGTCACCGTCTAGGTAACTGTCTATGTCCTCTAAACTTAACTCTACTAGATATTTTTTTAATTCTGATTTGAATTTTGTTAAGCTCTGAATTTCAAGTAATTTTTTCGGTAGGGCCTGGTACAATTTCATTCCCATGTAATCTGGTTTGTGTTCAAATTTTGTGAGTTTATGTTGGACTGCATGTGTGCCCTTTGTTCGTGTGTTGTAAGTGTGATTTGTAAAAGTTGGTTTAATGTTCTGTGATTTTATATAGCAAACTGATTCATAGATATAAAGTGAAGGGACTGTGAGAAAGCCAAGTTCTTTATAAACATTTTTGCAGCTGGTCCGAGGCGGCATGCCCAAGATTGCTCTTACTGCCATATTCTGCCAAACAAAGATCTGGTCAATATTCTTCTTAACAGCTCCCCATGGAATGATTGAATACAAAATGTGCTGTTCTATTAGGCCAAAATACACAAGTTTAGAGAGAGCCAGGTTTCCGAAGGTTCTTATTCTTCGAAGTACAAAGACCCCTCGAGCCATAGACCCCTCCAGTTTTTTTATTTGTGCATCCCAGCTCAATTTATCGTCCAATCTCACCCCCAAAAAGTCGGCAGTTTTTGAAATTTGAATTTGATCCTCTCCAATTAATAGGTTCGGAGTCCTATTATTTTTTAAATTTTGTCTTTTTGCAATTTGGATACACATGTATCCTGTTTTTTGTGAATTTAATTTGAGTTTGTTTGAGGAAAAAAAGTCAGCCAAATCATTTGCTCTTTGATTAGATTCTGCCTCCAGGGCCGCGTCGTCAGTTCCCCTTACGAACAATGTTGTATCATCCGCAAAGAGGTAGACGCTGTCCTGCGGAACAGTATCTGTGATGTTGTTGATGTAGACCAAGAAAAGGAGAGGTCCAAGGACAGATCCCTGGGGGACGCCATTGGAGATCAGTTTTTTTGTTGATGAAATTCTTTCAGTTTTTGAATTTGAGTTTTTTTGAATCTCAGTGACTTGGAATCGGTTGCTCATGTAGGATGTGAGCCACTTCAGCGCAAGTCCTGAGATTCCAATTGATGCCAATTTTTCCAATAGAATCGCAGGTTCGACACAATCGAAGGCTTTGGAGAGATCAGCAAAACAACCAACTACCGTCTCTCCAGCCTCCATTGCGTCCATACTGCTGTTGATGAAATCAATGAGTGCCAATTTTGTTGATTTGTTGCGTCTAAAACCATATTGTCTGTCACACAATATGTTATTTTTTTCCAAGAAGTTGCTAAGTTGCTCCGAAACAACTTTCTCAATCAATTTTGAAACGACTGGTAGGAGAGAGATTGGGCGATAATTCCCCGGATCAGTTCTGTCTGACTTTTTAAAAATTGGTTTTATTTTTGCAATTTTGCAATTCTGAGGGAAAATTCCAGATGTCAGTGAAAAATTGACTATGTGGGTAAGAGGAACTGCCACTTCCTCCCTACAATATTTTAGGACATGCATACTGATTCCATCTACACCACTAGAGTGTTTAGATGGTAGCTTTGAGAACAAATCCAGAAGGTAAGCAGATGTAATCAAATGAAATTGTCCAAGTTCAGCAGTGCCATTCCTCCTAAAACCAGATAAGGCATGGGTTTCCTGATCCTTGTTAACAAGCTTCGAAACATTAACAAAATAGTCATTTAGGGTTTCATTGATCATTAAGTACATTCAGTTACAGTGCAATAGATCTTGTCATGCAATACGCAATGATAAACTAATTTTGCAATGCAGTTGTCTGCTTGCATTAGTCCAGAGGGTGTTATACCATCTACATGAAATATTTCATAGTAAAAATGATTGAATCTTATTCAGTTTTGCCATAGCTATGTAGTTAATACTAAAAATACAAACGAATTCAGCTGAAGCACTTGTTGAATTTCCCTATAGGATAGAAGGTATTACCATATGAGGCACGGGAAGACCTATATCTAGAAGAAAGAACCGATTTACTTTTTTCTTTTTTTGATAACATTCCAGCGACCCACACTATTTATTTAAAAATATATAGCATCCAATTTTGATTTAATTTGGCATTTAAGTTAGGAGATGGATAAACTTGAATGAATTCGCAAGCCAGCAAGTATCATGGGAACGGCCGGAGTATTATTGGGGTTTAAAGTTTTCAAAAATGGTTTTTTATTCCTAGGTGCATAATTTTACTCTTAAAACATCGAGGTCCCAAATTTTCGTTACAGCCTTCTTGTAGGTATAGAGCTGAAACCCCGCCAAAATTTGGTACATTGGAGCATTGTTGACGAATACTAGTTTAATCAAAGTTATAAATGATCAAAAACTGTTATTTTAAAATGTCTGTTATTCTTAGAGGAAAGGAAAACTGTTGAAGTTCACCTGTAAATGGGGAATAAATATGACTTATTTATGAAAATCGTGAAAATCCAATCAGACAAATTGAAATTCGCTTAGTCAGCAGGTTTGCTCAACATTCAATATCTAGTAAAATAAATTGTTCATTCGTAAAGTTGACACAATGCAAAATATATAAGATTTATGAAATGTATATGGATTGGGTTATACTTTTTCCACTTCGAATATACCGTACAGTATTTTTTTCACTCCAGCATTTTCCATCACGAGACACTACAAACCGATCGTTAGCAGCACAAAATCCCCTCGAAAAGTGCCACCATTTTACTATGACTTAAAGCATTTTTTCTTCGTTTCTTGCATCGGACCACAACTCACAGATAAAATAAGTAGTATAAAATCTGTGATCGGACATAACAAAATTATTTAGATATAATGACATAGACTTGTAGAGAGCATCGACTTTGTCTTGGCCCCTATTTATATTATTATAAACGCAGTGTTGCCACTTTCAGGGTAGTAATTTACTCTCCTAGGATGAATTTTGGGGATACAGTATTGATAAATTTAAGTTAACTAAATAAGGTTAAAATTACAATTTTCATGATGGTTCAAATTTAACTTTTAAACATGGGACAGGTATTTCCCCCAAAATAACCAAAATTACATTTTAAGACAGAACTTATATTACAACCCATGCTAGCGATTTTTCAGATAAATTCTGTATCATAAATTGATAAAGTTTGTTTTGAAACAAAACAATTACAGCATTTGCGAGCATAATTGGTTAGTAGGTAATCTGTGAATACAAATACAAAACTTAACTTCAACAAGCATAGATTTGAAGTTCAAAATAGAGAAAACTTTAGGAAATTGTATTGTAATTCTGTAGAAAAGAATAAGTGGGAATGATAAAACATTCTATTGAATTTTCAAATCTAGTACATATCATACAATTTTATTAGTATATCTTAAGGGACATTTTATATTGTTTATATCTGTTATGAGATGCTACTCAATTTAAATCCATTATAAAATTCGATAATTCGTTATCTGATCTGAAGCCGATACAGTCTGGAGTACCTCAGGGGAGTGTTCTTGGTCCCTTGCTATATTTGATATATACAGCAGACATCCCTATGGTCCCCAACGTCACAGTTGCTACGTTTGCTGATGACACCGCACTGTTGACGAGTCATGTGGACCCTCAAGTCGCTTACATAAATCTACAAGCTGCCTTGACTGAGCTCCAATATTGGCTTAAAAAGTGGAGGATAAAAGTAAACGAAAACAAGTCCAAACATATTGTTTTTACTCTGAGAACAGGGTACAATCCTCCAGTAACCATTAATAATGTAGCCTTAACGGAGGCAGAGAGTGTAAAATATTTAGGTCTAACTCTTGACAAAAATTAAATTGGAAATCTCATATCTGGTGCAAGAGACAGCAAATGGAATTAAAACTTCGTAAACTCAATTGGCTACTAGGTACGAATTCAAAATTATCATTGGCTAACAAAATTTTACTGTATAAAGTTATGATCAAACCAATTTGGACATACGGAATTCAACTTTGGGGGACCTCGAGCAAATCCAACATCGAAATTCTTGAACGATTTCAGGCTAAGGCACTGAGAAGAATTATTGGCGCACCCTGGTTCGTATCCAACACTACAATTAGGAATGACTTCAAAATTAAATCAGTGAAAGAATAAATTACAGACCTTAGCAAAAATTATCAAGAAAAATTAGAATATCATCCGAACAGTCTTGCTGTTAATCTGCTGGACAATAGCCAGTGCATTACCAGGTTAAAAAGTGTTGTGCATGTGCTGGACCTAAGCTACAGATTTCTGTAAATATTTAAATGACTGATCCAATTTTTGGCAAGACTTGTTGATGAACAGGTGCTTGCTTCCTGACATTGTTTTGATATATGTTTTACTTATTGTTATCATATTTGAACAGATTGTAAAATAAATTCTGATAAAAAAAATTATTAAATTCAAATTGGATTGGATTCAAATCCAACCCAAAAATAACATAGACATAGACATTTTAAAATTACAGTTTTTGATAATTTTTAAAGTAACCTTTGATTAAACTAGTATTGGTCAACAATGCTCCAATGTACAAAATTTTGGTGGGGTTTCAGCTCTATACTGTACCTACAAGAAGGCTGTAATGAAAATTTGGGACCTCATGTTTTAAGAGTGAAATTATGCACCTAGGAATAAAAAACCATTTTTGAAAACTTTAAACCCCAATAATACTCCGGCCGTTCCCATGATGCTTGCTGGCTTGCGAACTCATTCAAGTTTATCCATCTCCTAACTTAAATGCCAAATTAAATCAAAATTGGATGCTATATATTTTTAAATAAATAGTGGGTCGCTGGAATTTTATATAAAAAAAAAGAAAAAGTAAATCGGT